AAAGGGCAGCATAGAGGCGACATCTCGACTGTACGTAACAGCTCTTGGTTAAATGCATGAAAATCAAGTCATGAATACAGATAACGTAGATAAGGTAGGTGACTAGATCGCGACCTTGAAGAGTACATCGTTAACTATCCAAGGACCAGGCGTGAGTGACAGTAGCAGCTATCATGTCCGCTCAATCGAATACAAAAAACGCCCAATCATGATCAAACGCGGCAGGCAGAGTGACCAGCCAGACTGGGAGCATACAGGGCTCCCCATGAAGATACATCAGTCCCCTTTCCTTTCAAACTGCAAACATTTAGTCCAGGCCCGGCGGCAACCAACCGGGGTTGTCCCGCAGCGAACTCAGCGCCTCGAAGCCGATACGCTCCTCTGAGCCGTTTCGAGGCGGACCGTCGTTCGCCTGCGGCCCATTGGCGCGATATTGTCTGCCGCTGCTGCCGGGAGTGCCGCCCTGGAACATGAACATGTTTTGCGGGCTCTGTTCTGCGGACATGCCCGCCATGCCCCAAGCCTCGAAGTTCTGGTGCCACTTGGCGCCGTCGTTGAGGAACCAGTCTTGGTCGAGCTCTTGGAAGACCTGGGGGCTGGGCGGTAGCGGTCGTGGGGGCATCGGTCGTTGATGTCTTTGCTGCTGTTGCTGCTGTGCTTGTTGTTGCTGTTGCTGCTGCTGCTGTGCTTGCTGCTGCTGTGCTTGCTGCTGCTGCTGCTGCTGCTGCTGCTGCTGTTGTTGTTGCTTTTGAGGGCGGTGGTAGGTGGGAATGGGCTGTGCCGACGGCCACGAGGTGAGGGGGACCTGTGGATTCGAGGTCGGTGTTGATGTGAGAGAAGCAAGGTCAAGCGAGGGGCTAGCGAGAGGGAAGTTCCCGGTCTGCGCTGAGATGTCGCCTGGTATGCGTGGTTGAATAAACTGGTCGACGGGACTGTAGCCCTGGGTGGTTTGAGGAGCAGGCGATGGCACATGCTCGTTGGAGCCCGCCGGAGAAACGCCGGTGCCATGGTTCGAGAAAGGGCTCGGGACGTCACTCGTGTTGAAGGTACCATACTTTTCGTCTGTGCGACGAAGGGTCACGGAGGCCTCATCAGGAAGCTCAACGTTCCATTTCCGACCGAGAACACTGATGATGCCAAGAGTGCGGCGCGCACATGGCCAATCTTCGGCGATCTCCTCGAGGTGCTTGACACCATGCGTGATGTCACGTCGAGCTGTCTTCTCGGGTAGGTTGAGCATGTGAATGGTGCATGCGCTGTGCACCATGTAGACAGCAATATTGCAAATCTGGCGCAGATTCCAAGTCTTCTTGTAGAGGCGCATGAGCTTGGATATGGCACCGGCATTAGCGGTACAGATCCGCCGCGGTGAGACATGGGATGGTAGCGGCGAGGCCGCAGGGGTATACTTGAGGAAGGGGCGGAACAGATGGATGTACTGTAGGTGGAAGAACATGCTGCAAAGTGTTAATTCTCAGTAATATTGCAGGAAGCCTGGGGAGACGTACTGCATGAGGATGGCGTTGGGCAGTTGGCCATCCTTGGGTTCAAGTTCTCGAGGAAGCTCTTTGCGCCAGTCCTCGAGTCGGCGGTGCAGTTCACTCAGCTTTTTCAACTCGACAGCCTTGCCACTGGAACGTCCAATGTGGTTCGGATGGTAGAAAAAGAGGAGCAGATCACTGCTGATCTCACAGAGCTTCGCGAGTTGTAGACCTATGGCCCTCGTTCGTGATGGCTGCTGGATTGTGCGATCGAAGCCGGCATCGGAATACGCCGACCATAGTTCCGCGTCCTCCCCAGGGAAAACGTCATACTTGGGTACGTTGTATGAGTTTTTGGGAATCTGTGGCAGTCGGCCAAGGTAATTGGACCAGCACTTGTCGAACAAGAAACATCCCCAAAAGGTAATACGCCTGGCGTCGATGGCGTGCTCTCCCAAGTTTTCTCTGTCGGCTGAGATGCCACCGTCATCAAAATTGAGACCGATGTCCTGCGCCATGCGGAAAGCCATGCCTGAGTAGACCCACCCTTTGGCCTCACGACCACAACCAGCCTCACGAACGGACATGAGCGCCAGGGCCTGGACCGTCGTCAATCTGGGCTTCTCGTATTCATCATTTTCGATGATGAGCCGTTTGGCTTCTGCAAAGAAGTGATCTCCTTTGGACCGACCATCTTCTGGCGTGGCGCCCGGGACGCTTGTGAAGTGGCAGCCGAGTGCGAGCATGGCATTGACGAGCAAGGGCGAGCAGTACGCTGTGCCTTTGGTAGGTAGAGCGTAGCGACCTTTGACAAAGTCGCGGTAGAAGAGGGTTTTGGACAAGGTGGCGAAGTAGGGATAGTGCCAGTTGAAGTACATATTCATGAGGTGGGCGACAAGTTCCTTGTCCTTGGTGACGGTGGTCCAACTGACGACGGGGTCCTCGTTGACAGCGAGTTGACTGGCCGCAGGCTGTTCGACGCGGTCATCCATGGGGTCGCCGAGATAGATAAGATGAGATGTGCCTCCGATGAACCGCACAGCGCCGTTCTCGAGGCGGAGCTCGCCCATCTTGCGGGCCAGCTCACGCTCCCCCTCAATGGGTTGGTTGGTCGTGTACTCATCCTCAAAGGTCTCTTCGAAACCTTGGTCGTCCTCCTGCGAGTTGTCTTCGTGTTTGATAATCTGCTCGGCCACCGTGTCGAGGCTGTCGCACGTCCGGATCCGTTTGACAATGTCGGGCACCTCGTCCTCGGCGGCATTCAAGATGGCTTCGATGAGGATCTGCAGAGTGGACGTGCGAGCCTTCATGCTATCGATCTTCTCACGATACACGCCCTTGCGCCGGTGGTCCGAGTTGGGATCGTAAACGCACTCAGTGCCGTACACGCTGGCACAGGCAGCACAGCTGGGTAGAGCGCCGTCACATTTGGATTTCCTCCGGCGACACGCAATGCAGGCGGTGCTCACGCATCTCCGTTTCTGAGCGGCCGAGTCGGCACCGCGGCGGGGCTTCTTCTTGTTTGCCGGAGGGGCAGGCACCGCTGTGGAGTGGCCGTTGGCGGAGCTCAGAGCAGCGGCAGGCTGGCGGATGGTAACCTGAGGGTCGTCCATGGCGGAGACGCAGATTCACCAGCTATCGTGTCTCAGGGGGCCGCTCGTCCGTCCTCCGTCGGTCAGTCAGTCAGTCAGTCAGTCAGTCAATCAATCAGGCAGTCACTCGCTCACTCGCTCACTCGCTCACAAGAGTGAGCTGGAGATGCCGGAGATGCGAGAACCAGGTGGCGGGTGTGTCGTTGAACAGTGGCTCGGCTTAGGAAGGGGGAGGGGCAAGCAGCAGGCTGATGGGTAGCGGCAGGACGCGGATGAGAGCGGGATAACCAAGGGCCTGACTTGAGGCTTGACTGCCGACCCGGGCGACTGGGCCAGTATGGTGAGGCGATACACAACGGGGGCAGGTCGTGGAGGGTGGATGAGATAACGAGAGGTTGCGCGATTGGAGGAGTCGCAACGACGGTAGACTGATAAGGGAGGTCGCCTGCAGGGAGCCGCAGTCGAGCGGGCGTCGTTGGTGGTCAAGACGGGCTGCGATGAGACTGGTATCTTGCATTTGCTAGTAGGCGCGGGTGACTGGTCATTGCACACTCCGGTCAGGGGCGCAACATGGCTGGCGGGGTGGTTGAAGGCTGAATCGGGACGGGGACGTGGACGTGGACGTGGATGAGGTTGAGTGACAGGCGGCGGATCAGAGGCAGTGGCAGCCCCGCCTCGTGAGATCTGCGAGGAGGAGGCAGGGAGGGCGATGGATGATCTTGATCTGGGGTACCTCTAGGGGACGCAGGCTGCAGATGGGGAGGGTATCGTTGGGGACCCGGGGCGGGACGGGCAGTCAATTGTCCTTGTCGGGGATCGCGAGAAGACGATGATTTTGATGACAGCAGTGGCGAGCGATGCCGCAGCGGCTATGCGAAAAATGTGAAGGCGCGAATTGAGCGCAAGGGCTTTTGGTTGCAACAGTGGTCGTGACTGGCCGGGCCTTGGCGTGTGGAGGAGGTCAGGCCGATGTTCGTTAGCCCAGGGCGTCCGTCAGTCAATAAAGGTGACAGGTTCTGCAGGGATGCGCCCAGGCTGCGGCTGATGAGAAATGGGGACGCTACGAGTAGTCGATCGCCAGAAGTCTGTCTTTGTCGGATGGAGCTGACTCTGAGTCTGGTCAACTAAGGTACTGGATGCCGCAGACCAAGCTGTGGCGGCAGGCAAATGGTTGATAAGCAGCTGAATGTGTTGCTGGTTGGTAGGTGAGGTGAGGTGAGGTGAGGTGAGGTAGGGTGCCTTGGGTTCCTCTTCTTCCGATGGTGGTTGTATGACTCTGGGTACCTACCTAGGTGGGTAAGGTAGGTGATTAGTGAGAAGGCAGGTAGTCCCCCCGAGGACCGGCGCAAGCAGGGCAGGAACGGCCGGAACACGAAACCAAAGGGACAGACAAGCGGGCACAGGCAGGCACGGAGGCAGGCACGCAGGCAGGCAGACAGGCAAAAGCAGACAAAGGCAGGAGCGAGCGAGGGCGGCCAGGCATTAAGCAGCATCCGGAGCCAGCAAGGGCGTGAGCGAGGCAAGAGCTGGGGGCAGCTAGAGGCAGGCACTGGCCACTCCTGAGGCAAGTATTAGGTAAGAGAAGTGCCAAGTGGGGAAAGGCCCGAACATTTGCTCAAACACCATTGCCCCTCTCAGTCTGGCGCTCGGCGACTCCATTCCCGCCATCGCAGGGCCAAAGGGCCCATCGCATGCTCGTCGGCCACTGCAGGCCACACCACGGACAGCGTGGGACACGGCAAAGCAGTTAGCCAGTCAGTACTGGGCGTCCACTTTTTTGGCTTCTTCATTGGACGCGGCAGGCAAATTTGGTTCACTCGACCATCTTGGCAATGACTTCATCCGCCCAATGTCAGAGCAATGGCGGCGCGGTTTGCAGGGTCAGTCTAAGCAGCGTGGATCAACACGGCAGCAGCCAATATCCAGTCTACAGGGGAGGGAGGAAGGAAGGAAGAATGGCGCTCGACCTCTTCTCATCAGCAGCCGGTGGGGGAACCCTCCATTGACGGGGCCAGTGAGCACACCTCGCCACGGAATGGCGTTGTCTCGTTGCAGCGGCACATGTCCACCCACGCTGATGCCATGCTTGCCATGCTTTGTTGTGCTGTCGCTCCGCGGAGCGATCGGGTGCGCCCCACTCGATGCCCTTTTCCAAGCCTACGGCGACATGCTTGATTTGGTGGGGGAAACCGCGGGGTCCTGGCACAGACCGTTTAGCAGACCCCACCACATCTTGGTAGCATTTCACCTTGGCCACTCTCTCTCCGACCTGGCTCACCACCAGATCTGCCAATACATCTCGTCCTGGTCCTGATATTTGTTTCTCGCATAATGCACTAGTCGATCTACCATACCTACCCGCCGCCGGGAGGGGTTGGCTAGCTACAGGCGAGGACTTCCTCTCGCCTGCCGTGTCGGTCACACGATGTCCACCCCCCAGTTCCGCGCAACTAGCTTCTCAGCAGTCCACATCGTAGACGTCCTTCCCTGCCCTCCTTCCTGTACACGCGGAGACGTGAAGGAAACAAGGGGTAGAATTCGAAGATCCGTTCTCCACTGCCCCGTATCGTTCATCCACCTCCCCCTCAAATTGTATGCTGCCGAGAGGATTGGACATGGCCAAGAAGTATGTACAGCCAGTGCCAGTCCCTCACACATCTCCGGGCAACCGACTAGGTTACCCGTTCTTTCACCGTCCATTCTTCAACGTCCAGTTACCGAGATTCACCATCCGGGGGCGGCCCGTCACTCGGACCAGACCTGGACAGGCGATTCCTCAGCCAACTAAGCGGACCACCCTGTGATTGAGTCTGGTTCTGTGCTTGGCCTGTCCCTGCCTGCTGGTGTCCCCGATTCCAGCTGCTCGGTGTTGGGCTTCGTTGCCTAGTGCGAGAGCCCGTGTTCGTTGCTGGTGGAGACATCGAGTGCCGCCTCTGAGACGACTGTCGAGACGAAGACTGTGAGTCGTACGGTCTCGGTGGGAAGATGTCATATCCCCGAGGGCTGCGGGAGCTGCCCTCGCCCCTCGTGTTGCCCGCTGGCCCATTCTGTGGTAACTGGAAGGACCAGTGGAATTGCCGTGTATGTACAGGCCGCGTCGACGGGTGAGGCGGTTGCGGCGGAGCAGCATAGCCCCAGCCGCCTGTGCTGTTGGGGGGAGGAGCGCCATCGCCGTGGGGACTTGGCATGCCGAATCCGAAAAACGGGGGAGGTTGTCCACCACCGGGTGGCGCTGAGTTCGATGGTCCGGGTGCCGGTCTGCCGCTCCCCTCCCCTCCATCACCTTGCTGACCACCGCTCGCGCTTTCGGTCCTCTCCTCAATCGGTGTTCGACAAATGGGACAAGTGTTGTGCTCCTTGAGCCACATCACAACGCACGTGTCATGGAACCAGTGCTTGCAAGGCAGGTATACCACTTCCTCACCCTTCTTCAGCTCATCGATGCAAATGGTACACTCGGCCATGCCTTCGGGGCCCAGCATCTCGTCATCCACTGCCTTGCGTTGCAATTTGCCGATGGCGTCCTCTGAGGCTGGCGGCGCGGCGTTTGACTGCGGATTCGTCTCCATCATGTTGGAAATGATCCGGTCGAGAGCTTCTTGCGTGTAGACCGCATCGCCAAATTGACCATTTCCTGGTGCCAACATATTCAAGATTTGATGCAGACTCGCAGCAAGGTTCTGGGCACCGGCGGCGCGGGGCCGTGGGCCTTGTCCGGGCATGTCTTCACCATGCGGCTGTTGTGGTGGACCGGCGCCGGTGAGAATGTTGCTGAAGACTCTGGATTCATCATCAGACCAAGGTTCCGCACCATCTCGTAACGAGCTCATGATGTGAGTCTGGGGAAAGCTGGACTTACGACTGAAAATCATCATGACCCTGCCCCTGCGCCTGGTCTTCGGACGGGCGTCCAAATGCTCGAGCCCGACCACCGCCTTGAACATGGATCGGTCCGGTAGCGATTGTGAAGCTTGTGAAACCGTTCCCTCGCCTAGTAGTGAACGTCCGCACGTTTCCAGAACCGCCAAACGGACTGCTGCCGAATGGTTGGGGAGGCCTTTGCGGGTGATCATGGTCAAAGTCTGGCCCGCCTTGTGCTCCGTGTCCAAATGTGCTCAGAAGCTCGAGGAAGCGGCCTATCACCTGGTCCCCGTTGGCGGGATCAGGCGGCTGGCGCCCGCCTTGTTCATCTCCGTGAGGATTACCCCACGTGGATCGATGAATATTAAATCCATGGGGGCCTTGGTGCAAGTGTTCCTCAATATCAGCTTCGTCGGGGTCGGAGTCGGAGTCTGCCCTGCGGGGCCCACGGGGACCGTCGCCGGAGGAGAGAGGCGATGGGGCATCGTGGAAGTCGCGAGGGTCGTTCTCTAGGGAAATCTATAGAGTTTGTCAACATATATGGTCACCCGACGCTGTATTGGGGCGAACGAACGATTTCTGTTGCTTCGCTTTCGCACCGCGGGCACACGAGTCCATGAAGCGTATCCTTTTCCCATTCGTGTTCGCAAGCATGGCAGTAGACGACTTCGCGATTTATGCCGGCTCCTCTATCGCCTTGAGCCCTACTCCCATCTCGGAGGCTCATGTTGGCCTCTTCTTGATTGCGCTGGTAGGCAGCGAGAGCTGTCAGACCAAGGCCGGCAAGAAGGCCAGCAGTTCGAAGTGCTCGGAACGCCAGAATGATGAAGCTCGAAAGCGTATCGAGCGTATGTGTCGGAAAGAGTCTGGCTCAATCCACAGGGGCCGTGAGGGTTGGATCGAGCAGATATTGAGCGCCGGAGTCAAGAGTTCGTGAAGCCGAATCGGCTGGAAGTATGACGCTGAAACAGAGGACTGGCTTGTGCTAGCGAAGTAAAGGTATGACTAGGTCGGAAGGCGCCTGGACTAATCGATTTGCAGGCTTTGGTCGTCAGCAAGCCAAATGACGAGGCTGTGTGCTGTCACTGGTGCATCGAATGTAAATTGAGCCGTGGGGTATATCTGGCTGAATGTCAGTCCCCAGGATCAAGACAAGATCAAACAAGACTATTTGGCAAAGTGAGTCCTAATGAAGATCTCGTAATAGCGACCTAAGCGCCCTGTTTGTCCCGTAGAGATAAGGAGGGCATCGGCGAAAGCGACTGATGTTGCACGTACCCGGATTGGTGAATCATCCAACTTGCCACTTGAGGTTGCTCAGGTGGGCAGGTAGGTAGGTAGATAGGTACCCAAGGCAGGCAACCACGGCGCACTCGGTGTTGGAGCAGACGATGGACAAGCCTGACAGAATACTCGTTGAACGAAACGGTCGGTAGATGAGGAATAGGCCTCGTAGGTGGCATGCGCCGCAGGATGTCGTAGGAAGACGGAGGGTGTGTTCGATGGACAATCGCCGATGGTACCGGCGACCGTAGGAGCTCGTGGGCGCTCGCGTTGTACCCTTGTGCAATATGATGTGGCAGCGGGCGTCGAGTGGAGCAGGTTGAGCAAGTGACGTTGGGGTCAGTCAGGTCCTGGACTCAGCTGCGACACGCTGGGCACCTGCTTCTTTGGTGGGGCACCGCTAGCTTCGACCAGGGTCGGTGGCATTCCACAAGTCCACACGATTCATCATGGAGCTTCAGGCACTGGGATGCTATTCGGAGACCACTTGTAGCGTTTTTCTCAGCATCTTTTGGTACGGCCTTGCTTCCTGGCCTTGCGGAGACAAGATCTTGTGGAGCTCGCGTCTTTATCTTCCATGCTAGGCAGCAGGTAGCCGCCCATTGGAGGCCTCACCGGCATAGAGAGGTGATCGTTACTAACATCCAGGCTGTGTCAGTGCAAGGTCTTGGACCCCTCAAGTCTTCAAAACTGTTTAACGCATCCGATGACTGGAGTGCCCTTCGTGGACATTCAAGGCATCGGGCATATGTATACGTTCATCTAACAATTGGTACTTGTTGTACCCCTCTGCTCTTCTGCACGCTTATACTTTTCAATTGTCCAAAATGTTTCGGCCTTAGGTCGCCACAGGAGAGGTCATAGGTAGATCAACAAGATGTTGTAGAAAGAGAGACTTCGTAATGTAAGCTTGAGCGTAGTGTATCCACCTTCTACAGCCTCTTGGAAATACAGATTGCGCCGCCGTGACCCAGCATCCTCCGGGTGGTTATGTACACCCACAGTCCCTCTCATCGTACACGATGACTTTGCCTCCTCACCAAGCCACATAACCAAACAATAGCGATACTTATCCAAGCCACTCTACCTCTTGCGCACATTCCGCATCAAAAAGGCCCCCACTACGCCTGCCGCGACAGCAACACCACTGACGATCGCCACGCCCATCAGGCCCTCCTTGGCCACCTTGTCGTCCACCAGCTGCCGCAGGTTGGACGCCTGCAGATTCGCCGGCTCCTTCTCCAGCAGAAGGTCGTTGTATCGTCTCGCCTCGCCGTAGTTGCCGAGCTTGTAGTTGCCCAGGGCCAGGTAGTAGAGGCACTCGCGGCGGCGCTCGGGGGACACGCGGAAGATTTCGGAGAGGAGGCGCACGCCGAGTTGCTGGTTGTTGCGGGAGTCGGATTTCACCAGGCCCTGCGTTTGGTCAGCGACTATGATCTGCAGGTGCGTGAGTCCGAGGAAAGAGAACGTACCCAGGCGTAGTTGAACTTTGTCTGTACTCCGACCATGTCGCCTTCTTTCTCGTACTGGGCGCGAAGAACCTGAAGCTCGGACGCCTTGAGAGGCCTGCTTCTTGTTAGATCGACCCTAGGGAGGGGGTATCGCTTCGGACTCACGACTCGGCATCGAGGGCATCTACGAAGTGGTCAGTGGACGTTGCATGTGATGGGGCGAGGGCACCTACAGGGTAGCTCGGAGACCATCTTGAGGTCTTTCAAAGGGGTCCGAAGTTGGATTTCAAGGCTTTCAGGGTAGATTTTGTTCTCGGCGAGGTGTGTGAGAGAGTAATCGTTAGGGGGACAAGCAAAGTCAGTCTAGCAAACAGGAAGTTGGCGATGCAAAGATGCCGCGGCGAGGGCAAACGTGGCTGAAGCTGGATGTAGACATGGGGCACGCCACAATGACGACGGGCGGCCTGCGAAGAGACGATAAGCCACGCGATAAGACCCCCGCACGTCGTCCCGGTGATGCAGCTTTATTTAGAACCTACCACATTGGGACAGCGGGACAGCGCAGCACTCTCACATCAACACCACGCGAGCGCGACCGTGACATCCTCGCCCTTCATCGAAACCGACACAGGCCTCAACGCACCCAGCCGCTCAACACACACATCGACCGCGAAAATGCTTCTCGCCGAGGATCCCGCGACGCTCATCCACCACACCATTGACAACTTCAACATCCAGCCCGATAAACAAGCATGCGCCCGCATCAATGAGTCCCTCTCGACCCTCCAACAAGCCCGCGACCTGCGCGCCCGCGAAGCCGAAAATGCCCTCAAGAGTGCGTCGCCCCCATCCCCCCACATGTTACGAACCGTGAAACTGACGTAGCGTGCCAGAGCTCTCCCGCACCCTCAACACCATGACCTCCCAACACAACGACCTGACAGCCTCGCACTCCTCCGCAGCCCACGCCTCGGAAATCGCATCCCTCGACACGCAAAAGTTCCGCACCGCAAAGGCCGCCTCGGACGCCGAGGTCGAAGCAGAGCGCCTCGCCGCCCAGGCCGCCGACCTCGCCGCGCGGCTGCAGGAGCTCGAGGTCCAGGGCGTCGACGGCGCCGCCGACGAGGAGGCGCGCAGGAGGCGCGCGCGCGACCCCCTGGAGGACGAGGTGCTGCTGCGGCTGAGCGTGTACCGCGGGCTCGGCATTGAGATTGAGCGGGACGAGAATGAGGGCGGCGGCGGAGAGGTCTTTTCTAGGGCTGTGGTGCGGAATGACCGCAAGGGGGATGTGCATGTTGTCAACATGGACAAGAAGTTTAGCAAGTTTTTCTATGCCAACTATTTCTGGCAGACCCTGTAGGGTGCTTGTACGCGAGAAGGGAGTGGGAGGCGTTTGGCGTTGGATACCATTTGATCTTGGGGAGCAGGCTGTTTGAAGCAACAAGAACACGGCATCAGAATGAATACAATGGATGACGATCAGTCCTGGCCGATAACGACAATTGTGTCAGCTGTTCGGTGTTCAGTCAGCCTTCTGTACAGCGTGAGAACTGGTCGAATGTGGTTGAAGAGCACGGGCTGTATCAGCAAGCCCTATCTAGCCGTCTCAAGGAAGTTGCATTCGTCCTTCAGACCATGCAGCCATGTTTTCCAAGACCATGATTTGATTTCCCTGGTCCACTGGTCCAGAAGCCTCACTGAGCTCTTCGAAGGGCCACCCAAAGATCCAGTGGTGCGACAGACATGCTGCTGCTTCGTCACCAAGCTTCCAAAAAACATGCAGATGCGAATAAGTAAACCAGGGGATATTGTAAGAAACACCGCAGACTTCTTCTCAAGAAGGGAATGTCCTGGATGGGACAGATAAATCCAAAGACTTGAGCTACTGGCTGCGGGACATATGTGTAAAGCACTACCTGTCACACAGCCTCGTCAGATCGGATGCAGACGTGTACATCATCAAGTCTCCCGAGCTGCTTTGTTCTCCGCCGAAAAAGCCATGCTATGAACAATGCTGCCTCGACTTCTCGCAGACACCAGCCCCCACGCCTAGTCAGCTCATGCAAGTTACAAGAACTCCTCCAACACGACCACCCTCGTCCTGGCAACATCAGACCCCTGCTCGCCATCCCCCATAATCTTCATAATCTCTATCATCCGCCCTGGTGCTTGTTAGTTTGACCATCAGGTGCATCCAGGCAAAGGGGTACTCACGGATATCTGCTCTCGCCCTCACAAACAGCGGGTCTCGCACCACGAGCTCCGTACCGCCCGGCTGCTTCGCCGCCTCTCGAATGACGCTGCCGATGCACAGCGCCTCCAAGAACGCCCTGTGGTTGAAGACCCACCACACCCTCGCCTCGAGCTCAAACAGCGAGAACAGGAGGAAGAAGCTGCCGATGGCGTCGTGCGCCGCCTCGAGCGTCCCGCGCACGTTGGCCGGCACGTCGGCGCTTTCCGACGCGTGGACGAGCATCAGGTTGTGGTGGTAGTTGCTCGTCAGAAAGAGGGTCTGGCGCACCACGCGACGGTTCGTGCGCGCAAGGGCCGAGAGCGAGTCGCCGTCCCAGCTTCGGAACACGTCGGGGAAAGAGCGGTACACGGCACGAAAGTCGGCGATGAGCTTGGACTTGTGGCGGGCGGTAGCGCAGATGGGGAGGTCGAGGGAGCGTGGCGAGCATATTGTTTCCTGGACGAGGTTTGCCAGCGTCCACGAGCCGCGAATGTAGGCAATATCGGTGGGATCACTGTTGGCGATGGCGGAGCCGTCGTCGGAAAGATCCTCGACGGAGACGTCGGTGTGAGTCGCCGAAGGAGGTAAGGACAGGAGAACAGTGAGGAAAGTGTCCTGAAGGAGGACAGCCTGCCACAGCTTACGACGCTGTTGTTTCTCAAACAGAGAGGCATGAGGGGTGACAATGTTGGGATCGCGATGAAGACCCATGGCGTACGCCTGGCGCACCAGGATGCCAGAGAACGCCCATCCGTCGGACGCATGATTATCATTAATGAGAAAATATGTGACGAGAACCATGGCCTGGACAGACCGCATAGATGCAGTGCTGAGGTAGGAGAAGATGCGCAGCGCCTGATTGCTGGCAGAGGCGTAGAACTCGGCCGTTTGTTTGGCAGCCTCTTTGCTTGTGTTGGGTGACTCCACAAATTGTGTGCCGAGGGCGAGCATGGTGAAGATGAGGCCGATGAAGGCAGGGTCTGACTGGTTTCGCTCTTCTAAGGGCAGGCTCCAGAAGTGCTCATAGTCTGCGTAGAAGGTCTGGCGGTGGATCATGGGGTAGACGGGATCGACAACGTCAAAATATTTGGTCAGCAGAATATCTGCTTGAAACTTGTCTGGTAGCACACCAATGACTTCTGGCAAACCGCCTTCGAATGTCCAGTAGTTGGCAAAAGGGTGCTCAGACCCGATGCCAAAAACGTTGCTCGCCGTTGGTAGGGAGTAGGGCACATTGGAGAGGAGCGTGCTTGAGTTGGTGAGGCCGCGGGAGGCAAAACTGCGACCATCAATGGCGCCGCGATCGGCGACATTCGGAATGACAGAAGGGCTACTGTCTGAGCCTCGTTTTTTAGGAGGCTTCGTCATGCGGCGCCCATTGGCGGCAGTGCGCGTTGTTTCTCTGTGCTCGGTCAGAATGGCCAGTAGTATGCCGTCAAACATGCTGAACATCTTACTCGAGGAGATCCGCAACAGCATCATATTTGCACTCGGTCTGTCGCTTGATGCAGGCTAGACAATGGGGCCGGCCTCTATCGCACTGCGACGGTCAGTCTTGATGCGCGCGACATGATATGAGCAAACATTGGAATTGAGACGGCAATGAGTCAACCGAGCGCGCTCATGGCGAGCTCTCCACAACTCAAGCCTGGCTCACTTCATCGGACGTAGATCGGCAGCCAAGGTCGTACCTTTGTCTTTCTGTCAACACATTCGCGACAGCTCAGCGTAGGCTTATTTCGCTTCTGCTTCTTTTTCGCCGGTCCGTCAGGGCTCGCCTGGTCCTCCGGGCTGGCGACGAGAGACTCATGGCCATACGCAGGAACGGCCTCTTGCTCGCGCTTCAGCTCGGTCGCGCGGTGCTGCTGCTGCTGCTGCTGCTGCTGCTGCTGGTGTGGCGACGCCTGCGGCTGTCCGCCAAAAGTCGAGGCTGGTGATGGGTACACGTTCACAGCAGCCAGCTGCTGCTGCTGTTGCGGCTGACCGTTCATGAGTGACGATGCCATTGGCGTGTGGTTCTGCAAAACTTTGACCACGACATCCGTCGGGGCTCGTGGTCGCCGCGCTTCGCGATGATCGGCTTCGGCTTGCGGCCCCTCCAATGGTCGGCCTGCTGTCCGCCGAAATCGCTGACCGGGATGCCACGCCGTGCTTTTGCTGGGCCGCTGTGCAGGATTGTCGTAGGGCTGAGCGGTCCGAATGAGTATGACAAGCTGGTTGAGGCCGCCGGGAATAAACACGAGATGCTCGTCGTGGGCTCGTGCAGTGTGGGTGCCGGCTTGGCTGGCTGGCTGGCTGGCTGGCTGGCTGGCTGGCTGGCTGGGGAAGCTCGCCCTGGGAATAAACTGGCGATTGTGGCAGAGGCAGGAAAGTATGTGGGAATAATGGGTAAAAAGGAGGAGGGAGGGCCTGAGAGGGGGGCACTGCCGATAGAGATTGAAATGGAGACCAGTGACGAAAATGTGCTGCATCTGGGATGGGACGGGGGGACCTTGGGGACCAAACCTGGGAGGCTCGATTGAGCTGCGAGCTGCGAGCTGCAAGCTGGATCGAGCTGGACCCGGCCTAAACTGAAGAAAGGATGCCGAACAGCAGGGCCGGTACTTGTCGGAAGAAGCGCGCGATCTACTAGGCTGGAGCTATACGCTGTTAGCAGCCTTCCACAGTGGCTGTGAAGGGGATTTTGGTGTCTGGCCCCCTCGTCATGGTGACCGGTGTGGGGTCTTTCATCACCATCTGGTAGACGATGGCTGATGGACTTAAGATGTTGCTGGTACTGGCCGTTGGTGGTGTTTTGACCGTGGATTTTCTTCTCAACAAGTCAATTGTCTTCTTTTCCCCCAAGTGACTTGACTGTAGCTGGAAGGGAAGGCAGTAGTCAACCCCGCAAGCCTTTCATCCGTCTCAAAGTCAATTGGTGGCCGTGCGCTGAGAGCAACAGCCACATTACATCCAAAACACTTGATCATGAACATGACTCGAGGCGTCGATGACGGCGCATGAGCTCGAAGCTCCCTAGATCTGCTGGTCATGGAGCACAGAACGAGACTTGTAGCCGCTTGCGTGACGGTAGCAGGTCTGGATGTTTCTGCCATGCCGCCCATCATTGAGATTCGCTGCTGTTGACAAAAACACACTTGTGTACTGATTTACTTGAGGACCACGCTCCAACCCCAAATGCAACGCTGTTCGCTGAATTCTTCAACACCTCCTCCCACCGCTAGGTTGATATGAATACGATCAAGTCAGCCAATGATGAAATCCTTGTAGTTTTTCCCTATCCGCTTCACTCCCTCCTCCAAGTCCCACCCCTTGATCTCACACACCTTGCGGTACATGGCTTGGAGCATGTCGTCCATCTCATCGCCTGCCATGTGCAAGTCGCTCTCCACAAGTATTCGGTCATCGGGGCAGAGCTTGACAACCTCACTCAGTTTCTCTAGGTCGCCCGTCCCCAGATTGACAGCCCACGAGAATGAGAAGAAGATGCGCGCCGGGATCGCCGCGTGCAGGTAATGTCGCATCACCTGTGCTGGCCCTGAGAACGAGTGCAAGCATATCCTCGGCGGGAACGGCTTTCCGCCAGCATCTCCATTCTTCTTCTTCTTTTTCTTCTTCGTCTCCTTCACATCGCCGCTTCCTTCATCCTCATCCTCATCAGAAGACGAAGAGAAGTCTTCAGCACCCTCGGCAATCCTCCGCTTCTGCCGCCGACTCAGCACCTCCTTCTCGTGCCCCTTCCAGCTCGCTGCCAACGTGTCATGCAGTACCCCGTGCGCCTGCACCCCGTGTACACTAACGGCTCTCCCCAGGGACCCTGCGAGGGCGAGCTGCGCCTTCAAGACGACAATTTGGTGGTTCATCCTCACGTGCTGGGGGCTGAGCATGCGACCCTCACGCCCGCCAGGCGTCAGTGCCGGGTCTCGTGCGGCGCGCGTCTCATCGTCAAAGGCCTGCGGCAGGCGGAAGGCCTTGTCAAGGCCGATCTCACCCACCAGTGCCAGGGGATTGTCCTTCAACCGGGCCTCAGTCGTGGCGATGTAGGCAGACAGTGGTGTCGGCGTGGGCAGTGAGTCGAGGAAAGCCGTATCCGTAGGCGCAGGTGACGGAGAGAGGACGGCGGCATAGTGTTCGTGCTTTGCCTTCTGGAGGTCCGTCTCGGAGCTGCTGGCGGGATAGTAGGTCCGCTCAGCCTCAGGGACCAAGTCATCATAAAGCTGGTGGGAGAACCAGGGGTGCCAGCCGAAGGAGGGGATCACTCGGCCGGTGTTCCTGGGACTTTCGGCCTCTAGGACACTGCCGATGCGCTCCGGGTCGCGAACGGCCAACGGTGATGCGGCGAGATCGACGAGGAGAGACTGGTCTTGCGAACGCGTGGCCATGACGGTCAGTGCAGCAGCCCGCATGTGCTGTATGCGCTCGAGAGAAGCCATTATGTCTGTGGGATGACAATGAGCATCGTAGACACCAACTTGCCACGGGAAAGGTGCTGTATCATGGCCCGGGGTCGCTGTGGCCGCCTCTGAGCTATCGCCATGATGGTGATCCTGGCACATGGCGGGCGGTTGGCTGCGATTTGCTCGTGCGCAATGATTCTGGGAAGCCTGAAACTGTTGCCCAAGAAAAACGATGATTGGCTTCTTGTTTGGTAAAGTCTACGGTGTTGAGAGCAATGGCTGGCTGAGACTTCACGCATGCTCATGGGCGGATGATGTCAATGTTGACTTCTCGCATCATCATCGTCACTGCCTGCTGTTGCTGCAGATGGAGGGGCTTGTGGATGCGGGGCATTCTTTCCGATAAGATGTCAAGTGCGGGGCATGCCTGCCTGCAGCAGCAAGTATTGTAAAAGTACATGGTAGGCAGAGCTGACTAGACGAAGTGACTGCTCACGGAAGGCCTCTCTCTGTATTCCAGACATCTCCCTTGGCTCCTCACTGAGGTCCAGACGAAGGACCACCCTGTAGACCTACACCATCCGAGCTTGCGGCTGCTATCCACTCCGCCAATCTCCCCAGGGTTTAAGGTTCACCCCGGCGCTCAGCCTTCTTTCGCGCGTCACTGTCTCTGCTCTGCTACCTTTGCACAAGGTCCCCTGAAAAGCTTTGTTTCTGGGGGCGAACCGAGAGAGACACAGGACCAATCAGTCCGATCGGTCTCAGATGCTGATGGGAATGCGGCTAGCAGTGTCTCACTGTCACGAGCTTCAACAGGGACGTGGAGAGCTTGGTTGGTCTGTCACAGGTCCTCGACAAGCCGACGCATCACCCTCTCGTCGCTCGTCTGCTTGCGTCGCTTCAAAGGCGGAGGAGGAGGAGGCAAAGACGGGCGATTCTTGCGATCCCTGGATCTGCACCATTTCCCAATTACCTCTAGAGCCTCTTGGGCGATGCGACGTGCAACACCATGGACGGCTCAAAGTCTGGACATATGAGCTCCCACACCAGTCAACCCGTGCAAGCCTGTGACCTAACCCCAGGTTGGTGGCGCTGAGGGAGGCCAAGGTGGGCGACTGAGGCAACGCCTGGGGAAAAGAAGGGTTTCGCAAGATGCAGACGGGAGACCAGGAAACCGGCACTAACATGTGACAGACCACTCGGCACCTCTGCACCGCTGCACCTCTGCACCCTTCTCGCCCGAGCACACCACCATTGCACCACCATCAGCGACTCTTCCGTGTCACCCCAGACAGACTGCCTCTGATAAGCAACTGGGAGCCCCCCTCCTCTGTCCACCACCTCCGAGTCTCTCGACATCATTCCGATTCCTGTGCTCTGTTGTCGGTTCTCACCACCTTAGCATCGCGTCGACGCTTTGTCGCAGGACCCTTCAATGTCGTAGGCCGTGGTCACGACGTTTGAGCTGCATTCTCCATTGCCCCTCCACCCCTAGCGACAACCACCAACCGCCACTGGTTGAAGCAACCCCGAGCAACGACCTGCGAGCAACGACCTGCCAGCAACTACCTGCAACCTGCGGCATGCCCCAGGCCGGCTGACACACTCGCGTCAGCCCATCGACCGATAGCCCTGACTGTAACCACGAGCGACACCCCGGCCATCACTCGGCAGCACGGCATCGTCCTAGACAGCCCACCATGGCCCTGCTCAATCCCGTCTACGCCTTCATCGTCCCTTTTCTCTTCCTCTTCACCGTACCCCTCGCCATCTTCGCAGGCATCACAACGATTGTCGCCTTCTCTGTCCTGCTCTTCCGCGTCGTCCTCGTATATCTCGACCTCGCCCTGACCCTGCTCCCCTCCTACCTCAACCTTCGCCGTCTCCCCCACCAGCGAATGGGCCACCAGGCCCTCCCCGCCGCCAAGACGCCCGCAAGCCTCTCAAACTCGTCCTCCCGCTCCGTGTCGCCCGTCCTGACGACGACATCCCGCACCCTCAGCTTCACCCGCACCCCGCACCGCCGACCTCGCTCCCGCCGCCCTTCAATGTCCCATGGCGCGACGACCCCAGATGCGCTACCCACGACCCTCTCCCTCCTGCCGAGCACAGGTCTTGACCGCGACTTTGAGGGAATAGGTGGCTGGCGGCTCGGGTCTTCAACAGACGACGACCGCTGGACCATGATCAACTCGCGCCTCGAGCTGCCGGACCGCCAGCGACACCACCACCGCAGCCCGAGCGGCGGGGGCGCCGACGGCGGATTCCTCATGATGAAGGGCTCGCGCGGCCGCAACCGCAGCGGCAGTCCCGAGATTTCGGCTGTCGGCACGGCTGGGAACAGGGCGTCGCCTGCTTCGCCCAACAGCTCGAGAGTGCGCACGCCGGGGGCACCGGCCGCGCTGACGACTATCGAGGACGGAGAGTATTTTCCTCGGACGAGGAAACTGGCCGTCACATAAACGGAGTGTTATGGAACTGGACGGACAGGCGGATTATGATGATGAAAAATCTCTTCTTATGTATGGGTGTTGTAGGAATGAATTTCCGGCGCGGGTTTGTGTACGTTATTTGGCACGCGGGACGGAAAAGCCCGGATGGCGCTTTGGCTGAATACTTTGTAAGGTGAAAACTGCAGTAATTTTGACCTTTATTGATGTTTTTGGAATTCAGCGTGTGACCATGGCGGTTGTGGAAATGCCCTGGCTGTCACAGCAGTGATTGCTGTTACCAACGTTTCGGGTAGCTCAACAACAGGTACTATCAACCCATGCAACATATTGCTGTGCAGCCCGTGACACCTGGCTCAGCCTTTGAGCTCTCCGTTGTGGTGTGCAAGAGAGTGACGGCACCGGAAACCTGGCTATAGGCAAGTCAGAAGCCTCGCCACGATAACTCCTTCGACGAGCAGTCGGACAGGAAACGGGAAAAACCCACATGACGCCACAGCAGAGGCACCTCGACCTCGAAACACCGAGCTCAGCGCGGGACCGATTGGGCGGCACGCCGAGGCCGGGCGGGGCTGAGCCTTCAACGGCGTCAGCCCGGGTGACCCCTCATTGGAGGACTTGGCTGATGGGAGGGGGAGGGGGACGTTGCGGGAAGGCGCAGCGCTGCTCCATGCCTGCCGAGGTGTGCTTCTGTTGTTGCAGCGCAGGAAGTCGATCTGTCCTGTTGTGCCTGCCTCATTCCAGCCTACCCGCTGATCGATCGAGCCTGCCACCTTTGTCCCTCGGCCAAGATATTTCGTCTGACCTTGCTTCGACGAGAGCGTGCTATTGAAATCTGTCTTTCCCCTCAGCTACCTTACCATCAGGTACGCCTAGCAAGGGGCAGACAGACTCAATATATCAAGATTTCAAAGCAGGACAATCACCCAAGATTCAGAGCCACGGACGGACGGGCTGAAGAACCCCTGGCACCCTCTGCCGTGCTTACGCCCCTCCGACGCAGCCCAGCGAGGCGCCAACGCCAGGCAACAGAATAAACGAAGCTCGCACACCACCCTCCATCCATCGCATCACTCGCCCATGCTAGCGAACCCCAGATTCCGTTCCTCGTCAATCGCCCAACGTCCAGCACACGCGTCCACACCCAAAAACCTGCTATTCGTCCTTCTTTTCCTCCGTCCGCCGTTTCCCCTTCCTCTCCCCCCTCTTCTTGCCACGACGACAAGCCTCAGTCTTCCACTGGGCCCCGACAGACCCACGACTGCCTAGCGAACGGCCCACGTTTCCTTCCTTTCCTTCGTGGTCATCATTTCATTCAGGCATCTATGGTCCCTTTGTTGGCAATAGAAAGAAGTAAGAGTTAGAGAACGGAAAGAAAGAGAAAGACGATGCGCCCCTCTGCCGCCCTCGGCCTCGGCCTGCCCCTCGCCGTCCGGGGCTCTTCTCCCGACTCCACCGGCTGGCAATGTATGTCCCTTAATGAGTTGTCAAGTTGTTCATGAGTTGACACATGGAAGCACCCGGCCCGCAGTCTGCCTGGATTGTGTACAACAACCCCGCCACCCCCGGACACCAGAATAGCGTACGCTGTCGCCCCTCATCCCGTCTTGACTTGTGTGTCTAGGAACTCATCTCACATGACATGTACAGATTCTCAACCTCGTACTCACCCCTCAGAGCCAGTCGTGTACCGATGTGCCTCCGACTGTCGCCTTTCCGAATCAACCGGACGCGACCTGGACCTACACCTGCCACGAGGATGATGAAGACTACGAAACTCTGCACGTCAACGTCGGCGAGTTGGACGTGGTGATTCGCTATGCCCTCAGCCCCTCTGGTGCTCTTGAGATCCTGGGCGTAGATAGCCCGTCGCAACTTGAGACGCCCACTGCGCTGCCCGAAGAGGTCTGCAGCGGGTTCAAGTGTGCTGTCGGCGACGTTGTCACCAGCGTCAAAAAGGTCTTCACCAACGTGTTCCGCCCTTGTAAAGATGAGACGAAGATTGCTAAGGATTCGGGGGTCGACGACGTCGATTCGAACGAGTCCACGGATGTACCAAGTGACGCCGAAGATGGGGGTGCCACTATTCAGTCCATTGCCCAGCCTGGCCAGAAGGCTGAACACCCCCTCGTCGATACCGACGAACAGTTCATCACCATCATGTCCGGTACCGCCAATGTTCCCAGCATTCCCGCACCCTCCGTTCCTTCTGTGAGTCTCCTATCACTTTTTGGCCTCGCCTTCTCTTACGTTCATGTTCTAACAAATGCAGTCTACTTCCCACACTCCCACCATAGCCCTCGCCGTCTCTGGTATCCTTTTAACCTTCTTCCTCATTGGAGTCGTTCGCAAAGCTTCCTTCCCCCGTTCAGAGCGCGAGGCAGCGCGCGACGCCCGCCGACAAGCCCGCCGGGGTGCTCGCGCCGCCCGATGGGCCTCTCGACGTGCCACGAAGGAGGAGCGTCGCGCAGAGTTCAGGCTCGCTTTCTTCAGCTTCATCAACCGCGTCTTCCGCACTAGTGAGACGGAAGTTGACGAGGAGAAGGTCGATCAACAGACTGCCTCCTCGAACAGACGCCACCAGGCAATTGCTTTTATTAGAAAGTTCTTCGTTCGCGCCCCAGAAAGTAAAGAAAGGGCTGCCGAGTCTCACCGCATGGTCGCTACCGACCTAGAAGCGCAGACATTCGTTGTGGGAAGCGACACGGATTCCGTCCGTTGCCCATCACGAGCCTCTTCGCGGGCTCAGTCCTTCTCCTTCTCGCGCGACAGGGACGCGGAAAGTATCACACTTGTTGGCACCGAGGGCTCCGAGTCCGGTTACGCGGGATCCGACTCGGGCGATTCGGACACCGGCAGCGAGCGGAGCGAGGGCAGCAGCGAGGGCAGCACTACGATGGAGATGGACCTAGCGGCGTTACGTGACATGGCGTTGCGTGTCGGGCGGGTCATCGGGCGGGCGAGGGCCATCTCCGTGACAGCCTCGTTGCCGGGATACACTACCGAGGATGGTAGCGTGCCGCCGGCGTACGACGAGGAGACCGGCTCCGTGGCGGATGGTGCGTCGAGGACGTCGGCTGATGGAAAGAGGTAGACGCTGTTCGCAAACCGAGCATGTACGATAAACACGCATATTTTGACTTGAGGGCGCAACGAGCGGCGACTCTGGTATTGGTTTTTTTTTTATGGACATACGATGTCATCGCGGATCACAGGCCGGATTTCCCTGGAGGACGAAGCGACGCGAGTAGGCATCTACACTCGCTGAATAATGAGGAGGTTATCCAATTCCATGTTACACAATTGAACCTGGCCGTGACCAGAATATGCGTTTGGATCTTCGAGGTCGGGGCAGGCCTGCGCGTCAAAAAAGGAATCGTCATATCGATGATGAACATGATGATGAATCATCGACGGTTTGTGACCCTATTGGGGCTGAGGCTTTAAACATGCAGGCTCGCCGCAACTCCTCTCTCATCCACCTTTCCCAGCCATTATCATCATCACCATCATCATCACAGCCAGCTCGGTACACTGACCTCACATGAAGCCTGGCGCCTCACCATTCGCCGCCGCAGCACCCGCCCAGCGCATCGCCCACCTCGCCCGCACCATGTCGTCGTCGTCGTCAGCCGCCGGCGCTAGCACCGCGACAAGCAGCACCCCAGCACCGTGGCGCTCCCTCTTTCTCGAACACATCAACACGATGGCGGCGCCGGAATTCACCCTCGCGACGCTCCACAGCAGCAGCAGCAGCAGCGGCCTCGTCCCGCGCGCCCGCACCTGCATCCACCGCGGCCTCTTCGCCTCGCTGCCCGCGAACCCCAAGAACGAGGCGCCGCTGAACCCGCCGACGTACGAGTCGGACCTGCTGACGCTGACGACGGACGCGCGCATGCACAAGACGCCCGACCTCGCGGCCGGGCACGCGGTCGAGGCCGTCTTTTGGGCGCGCGAGCCGGCGACGCAGTGGCGCGTCCGCGGCGTCGCGTACGTGCTGCCGCGCGACGCCGATGCCGACGCGGCGCTGACGGCGAAGCTGCTGCGCGAGATGCGGCGCACGGGCGAGGGCGAGGGCGAGGGCGAGGGCGAGGGTGACGGCGACGCCGCCTCGGGCTGGAGCTGCTCGCGTGAGGCTCCGGCTCTCTTTGGCAACCTGAGCCCCGTCCTGCGCGGACGTTTCGGAAACCGCCTTCCGGGACGCTCGTCGCGGCCGGGCCGCCGGCTGAGGGCGAAGGGTCTTGGGCAGGTTGTCACGGATCTCGAGGACGAGGTGGCGAGGGCCAACTTTCGCGTCGTCGTCGTTGTGCCGGACGAGGTGGACCGCGTGGACCTGAGCGACCCCAAGAGGGGGCGGCGGTGGTTGTACCGTCGTGTGGGCGGCGGCAACGACGACGCTGGTGGTGACACGGTACCAGGGGCCATCCGCGAGGGCGACTGGGAGAAGGTGGAGGTGTGGCCGTGATGGGGAGGACCAGATGATTGGAGTCTAAGCGCATTGCCTGCCGTGTTTGCATGTGCCTTCAATCACGGCGTGTGCAGCATCTCATCACGATTTCACACGGAACGCTACCCTCCTTGGCTGGCGAGGACTCCCCCAGCCGCTGTAGCTGATGACTGCAGAATAGAGAGGAGGGGGAAACCAGCCACACAGATGCAAATTCAATCAATGCGATGCGACGCTGGATTTCAAAATTGGCAGCAGTGTCAGCCCGACCGATCACCGGCCCATCCCGCATGCCGCGTGCTTACTTGCGTCCTGATGCCGATGATGTCGCCGTAAGATGACGAGTAGGAGGGTAATCGCTCACACGCCCCCTGGGCCCATCCCTTCACCGGTCCCCGATGGAGAAAGAAACACGCGCCGTCCAATGTCGGGTAGCGATTGAAGGAAGGGGACCAGTCCTCGTGACCAGCAGTATGGCATGGACACCGCCGCAAGATTGGCTTGGTCCTCGCTCTCCGAACAAATGCTCGTGGGCCACACTCCGCTCCGCAAGTCTCCTCGGTCAACCAACACAATGGTACATCGTAAATCCCTGTCCCAAACGGACCAAACAGAAGCGAGGACTGACGAGGCTTCCAAGTTTCACGCGCGAAAGAAACAGGCGCCCTTTTCCCTCCCTACCTTTCCACCCCCTGCCTGCCCTGCCCTTTCGTGTCCTCAGCCGAAAGGCCAAGCGGCGAAGGGAACCCCAACTAGTGGGGGGGGGGGGGGGGGTTTTCCCTCACGCACATGGCAGCCCTGCTAGTCTCGTCATCAATCATCAATCCGCTTCTCCCGTGCCCCAGCCCCCCCCTTCCGCTGACTGGTGAAAGGATGTGCTGAAAGGGTCTCCGCCCGGATCGAAGGGCACCTCTTCCCCGGGGGACACGAATGCCCACATTCGTTCGTCAGACCGGAGCTAGAAGAAGACGTCGTCTCATCGCCTGGCGCGTGGAGGATCTAACCTGGCCCGCGAGGTCGCCGACGTTCTCGAGGCATCATAATGACATCTGATACGTTCCGAAAGGAAATGTGACCTGAGAGGGGAGTTTGTTGGCTCGCATGAGCGAAACCGAAGACGTAAATCCCACTGTGCCGTCTTGAGTCGTCTTGGTCAGGTCGATGCTTCAAGAAAAAGAAACGGGCTGTCGCAGGAAGCCTCCTGAATCCAGCCCCCGTCCGGTTGGTGGCACCTTTGATGTTGGCTGGCAGTCAGGGTTTGACTGACCCCGGCCCTTCCGTGGTCACTTTTCACTTCCACGTGTTATTTTGTGTTTTCTTTTCGCTTCCGTCCGCAAGCGTCCATTTGCCAGCCTTTTGCAACGTCTCAATCTCCGTGATCTGTCGCATTCAATCTGCTGGTGGATCTTGGCATCGGCGGCATCACGAGAGGAAGCACCGTTTCAAGCTTAGCCACAGGGAGCAACAGACCTGTTAAGCGGACAAAGACGCGCGAGCTTCAGGCTCAAATTTCAGATGTAAGGCGTGTCTCTGATGCTGGAGGGAAAGGGCCGATCAAAGTAACAGGACTTCAATTGGGGCGCTGGGCTGCCGTGGTGATTTCATCATGTCGTCCGTGGCTGTTTGACGCCGTTCCGAAAGCGAGCAGCTCACAGGCGCGGCCTGTTGTTTGATGTTCAGCATGACTTCGAGTGGCTACGTGTTCTTCCCGACGTACATGAACGCATGTCTCAGACATGAGGCGATCACAGTTCAGATGCACATGCAGCGGTTTTGCGTTCCCGATTCTAGGCTGAAGTTGAACCATGGCCCAAAATGACAAGTGAACAGAGATTCGAGCAGGTGCAACAAGCTTGGTTAGGCGTGTGATGCACCCCAATCTTGCATGTGCCGAACATGCAAGTCCGGAGACGCTATCGCGCTATAATGTCCATACTGCATCGTCGATTGTGCTGTTGCGGTTGCTTGACCAGTGCTGGGCATGATGCTTCGCTCGAGCAGTTGGCAAGTCGGCCTTATGAAGCGGAGCAACTCCGCTACAGATCACGAACAGAATCAGGCACCGCAATATCATCGTTCGGTACGTGACCGATCCTGACTAGGGCTGTTGGAGAGGTGACACTTTGCGCTGATCAAAGACGGTGATCCCAGTGCTGGTGGAAAGTACTGTTGAGGTTGTCAAGGTTCTGAAACCACCTAGATGAGGGATACGATGCTGATCGTTCCTGATAGAGAAGTCTCTTCGGCATATCTAGATCCGGGCTTTCCTAGGAGTGAGAAATCCGATGCAAATGTCAGCTGATATTGACCGAACATCGCCCGGACTGACTGTGTTGCACTACCTTGCCACTCCGTCGTGAAGTACAGCCATTATGACTCGGTGTTTAGAATCGAGGTCCCTGAGAATTTGGTTTCTGTAGGGTTGTCTTTGAGACACGAGCCAAAGCAAAGGCCATTCTATGCACCCGGGCTCGAATATCGGACAAGAGGAGGACTGCGCACCCTGGAAATACAGGAAACCTGCCATGATAGAACCAATAACGAAAGAAAGTGACACAACAACACTGAAGAGGGGGCCCAGGTCCAGCAACTCGAAGCATGCTTCGAGGCGGAGTAGCCGAGGATGTACAGTCAAGCTCAAGGTCGCTCGACACGAGACCTATACCAACGTGTCGCGGAAGCAGAATTATGCGTGGGCTGGTATGTCACGGTAAAGAGAAACGGAGTTCCGTCAGGATTTGAAATGTCAAATAGCTGAGCTGCTGATAGGCACACTGTCCCATCGTGACTCGGGCGTCTCGAATTGGGACTGAACAATTGAGGGTCACCTGTGGCTGCTGCTAGTGGACAACCTACCGTATATGGATAGGCTTTGCTTGCGGCCTAAAAAAAAGCTTGGGCAAAAGTCGTAACATGGCGAGACGTGCTTGGACCAATTAGCCAGGGTGGCTCGGCAGTGGGCAGGGCGATCATCGGTCCTCGCGCCAGCGCCGGCAATTTAGTGTTCCTACCCGCGTGCTCTGTTCCGCGCACGAAAGCTTCGTGTTGCTGACGATTCATTTCCTATATCATTTGCCGAGAAGGCCGAGGAGTATTATCAGTACGCGGGGCCGGCCTTGGCAGTGTTCTGACTATACTCAGAGACTACTATGTAGGCAGGGCGTTGTTGAAGGTAGAGAAATTGTTGGCTGAGACGGAGTGACGAAAAGCCATGTCTTGTCATCGGGGGCTTCTTCGGACGCCAGTGTGTTTCTTGAATGCACGGCGATGCCATGTTAATGCACGACGATCGATATAGTGGAGTGGCTGGTCATCAAAACGCAAGCGCTTGCGCGCAGCCAACGGATGCCTGTCCATCATTCGCCGGGCACTACAGACAGCACGTTAGTGGTGATTTCACGACGAGAGAATGTGACAACGGGCTGCGTCACGCGCGGGTTGGTGGGTGAAGCGGGGAGATGCCGGATTGTTAAGAATTGCCGTCCTGTGTGTAATGTGTCCTTGGCTTGATACCATGTTAGCCACGCTTGCCATGGCAGCGAACGAGCAGGCTGGGTTGGCGCACATTGGCAATTTTGGGCAACACTATCGGCTGAACGGCGATTTCTCCATGCTCAGTGCTGTGTACCTCGCGCGCGCGGACGTTGGAGCGATAGTGCCACTGACCGATGGACGACGATTCATGCGGCCTTGCGGCGGCGGGCTCCCTCGTCTGTACGGCGTCGTGACAGGCTGGCAACGTGGCTGCAGCGGTACGGGAATGCGCCAACGTGGGAGCGGTCTGTATCCAGCCAAACACGGCAAACTGGCCGACATGGGGGCGTCGGGTGTTGGGGTGGAGCGAAAAGGTAAAGAGCCTTGTCATCGTCCGACACTTGGTAGGCCACAAGCGAGGCACGACATGGCAATTATCCGAGATGGGCGATAAAATGCGAGGCATCAGTCTGATTGTTCTGGCGTCTGATCTGGCGCTGCGCTGCGCACGCTGACTTGCCTGCCCGGCCACAGACGTCTGGGGTCAGTCATGATCATCTGGAGAGTCGGTTCCAATGTTTCCGAGATTGCCGGAAGAAGTCGTCAGGACTGAAGAGGCTAGGAGGCGGCGAGGGGCGTCACTTCTGGCTCCAGCCACACCCGAGGGCTGGCCTGGTCGAATTTGATTGACTTTCTGGATGCATCGCAGAGGAAGACAAGCAGTCGAAGCGGCGTGGCCCCTTGTCTCTGGTCATCGTCACGAGACTTCTGGATCGTGTTGGGGGAGCGATCAGGGGGGAGAAGAGGGGGGGGGGCATACAAGGCAGGACACGGAGGAAGAGAACTCAGCAATCAGGATGTCAGGCCGATCGGTCATAGACAGACCGTGTTCAGGGTCCTGGGGGTTTCTCGAATGAAGCGGGATGCCTAACCAATGTACCTATTCGGCGCTGGTGGGAAGGAACAGGGGAGGGGCCGAAATGGGGGGGAAGGGACGATGGGCGAGACGATGCTGGTGAGACATGGGCCGGGGTGGTCTCTCTTTCTCTCTCTCGCTTGTTCCTTTCACATGAGTTTCTCTAGGTAGGTACTTAGGCGCCTTGCTACGTTGGCTATCCCTTTAAGACCGAATTCAGTCTCAGTACAAAAAGTACGTGTAGAACAACCCAGTTAACGTGGCAGAAATCAGCTCCATAGCCAATAAAATCTTAAAAACAGCCCATAGTACATCCGCAAATAAGCTATAGTACTATGGGCACATAATGATATCAGGTGTGCTAGGGTGTATAGTGAAGATTTTGGTGGGTTATGCAAGACTGATTCAAGGCTATAGGTACTGAGGAAGACTTCGAGCCGTAACGGCGCCAAACCTATTATGAAGGCGGTGGCCGGCTCATGGTCGGCTTTTTGTACTGAGACTGACTTCGGTCTTAAAGGGATGAAGATGGTGTCTGCCCACCCTCCCTCTCAGCCTCGACGCTTGACAAACAAACACCCACTTCTGCCTACCTAGGTATTTCTGTGTTCTCTTTTATTGACTGACTAGGCCCATTGACAGGTCGACAGGTTGACCTGATGAGGACCGTCGTGATTGCAAACGCGGTTGGTCTTGCTTCTCTCTCCACGGGCACATTGGCTGGTTAGCAACTAGGGTAGGCCCTTCCCCTTCCCACCCACCATCCTTCCACCTGCCGTTCATTGGCCGTACTCCACTGCTCCCGTACTGTGTTCGACGAAGCTTCCAAGTTAAGATGTGGTGGCGTGCAGCACTTCAAACCGCCTTGTCGATCCTCGGTATTAGTGTCCCATGTTGCAACGGGCGGCAGAGTGGTTAATTGCTCAGCAAGCGAGCGAGACGCTGAAGAAGTAGCAAGATGCGAAATAAATCGGGAAACCGAAAGAAAAAGAGTTTTCATCAGAGACCAGCTCCAACAGAAGACACATTCCACATGCTCATGCTGTTACTGATGCTGACCTGGGCATCGTCATCGGACCCTGATTGCGTGTCCCACTATCCGGATGTATCACCTGCTGCGGGCAGGTACTCCAGGCCTCACACGCCATAGATTCAGATGCAAAAGTATCTGCCGTCACCTACCTAGGTAGGTATCTTAGGTAGGTACCTGAGGTACCTTACCGAGGGAATCACTCAGTCCACACTGTGCCAACACCCCTCATGAGGCGATGGAAGTACACGACCGCCAAGAGCGATGTACTATGTAGGCAGGCCAGAAATGGGGGGAGGCACGGCGCGGGAAGTAGGCGGGCAAGTGGGCAGGGCAGGGCAAGCGCAAGGGAACCGTCCCGAGCGGCATTAGTGTGGCCCTTTGGCCGTAGCTTGACCACCTCTTCCCCCCCCCAACCATTTCTGACAGGACAAGCGCCCTCTCATCAGTCCTGGCGACTCCTGAGAAGGCCCCGGAGCCCCGCCGCCAGCAAAGCAGCATCCCTGCCCCGGCCGTCCAACGCCCATCCCATCCCATCCCATCCTATCCCTGCCCTCCCGTTGACTCCAGCCGGTCCACTCCACAGACGGGGTGCAAGCAACTAAAGTACTGGCGCTGGCGCCCGATTTAGAGAAGGGCAGAAGGGCAAGTTCTTGATTTTGATGCACTCTCTGCTCCGGCACCATCTCTCACCTCAACCTGCCCACGCCTTTCTTCTTCCACGAGTCTGACACAGACAAACACTTTCGCGCAAACACCACTGGTTCTTTGCTGCCCGATGACAACTAGAACCAGCAAGCGTCCGCACCATTGATCAGCACTGACGCAACGAACGATCCACAGCGCAACGAGTACTCGCCTCTCAATCTCCCCAGCGAGGTTCACTGCGTTGGGTCGTATATACCTAACGACACTTGACAGGAGTGCCCCCTGCGCATCCCGCCATCGGTCTGCCATACTGTCTCACAGCACAATATCCTTCACAAGCAGAGACACCTCGTCCTTCCAGCAAATCTGTGGCAGCGAAAAACACGCGTCATGCCTCGCCCATGATCCTGACGATCCCGACCTCGTTGCTTTCGACATAGTTCACTCCTTCCAGCGTCACCACCTGCAGCACCAATCTTGCCCAGTATCACCAACCTCCCACGAATTTTCTGTTGCGGCCCTCCCTGTCAATCCGACTCGATCATCAGCCCACCTCTGTACTCGGTTCGAACCCGTCCCGCCCGACTCTCTTCCAACTCGAGGCGTTAGGTTGGCACTCACCTAACGACCTCCCCCACACCACCACAACGGCGACCCCACGGGCTAGGGACGATCCAAGGGCATTAACCATGGACGCCCTCAAGAACATCATCGCCAACGTGCCCGATTGGCTCAAGCGACTCGACGACCTCGGTACTCAGATTGACCAGCGGCAAGCCGAGCTCGCGGCCTTGGGTGTCAGTTCGACCAAGTCTATCAAGAACCGTGGATCCACCGAGTCCTTGAAGCTCAAGGACGTGGCGGATGCGGATGTTTCTCGTGACGCCGATCAAGTCGGCGATGTGAGGGAAACGACGCCACCACGAGAGGACAAGCAGGACGCAGCACAACCGCCGAGCCCAAACGGCAGCAACACCCCGTCGGCCATCCAGCGACAGACGCAGCAGGCCGTAGCCGTCGCCCAGGCTCGGGCCAGAGCCCAGGTCAAAAAGCGACATCGTACCGACTCGATCATTTCTGCCGATAATGCTCCAGCAAAATACCGAACCCGCACCATGATTATCGTCTACTACGACAGCTACGTGCAAAGCTTCTTCGAGGAGCTGGTCAAATTTGTGTCCGCCAGCCGTAACCTCATGCGAAAAGCCAAAATGGCAGCCAAGGTGGCTCAGATCCGACGGCTCGCCGAGCTCCAGTCACCCGAAGATGAGGATGACGGCACGGGTGAACTCAAGCCAGGGTCCGCAGCCGATGGCGAAAACAACGATCCTCTGCCCTCACTCAGGTATATGAGCACACGACGAATGGGCGGTGGACCTCGCCTTCCTGGTTCTTCACCATATTCTCGGAACTCCCCCGCTGGTCTCCTCGGAGAGCAAGAGAAGGACGCATACGACGACTTGGATAAGGGTCTAGAATTCGTCCAGTCCATGTGTGAGCACGCTGCTCACCAGTTCCTGCGGGACGGCGACTGCACAGAGGAGATTGGCAAGATCAAGAAACGCTTGTCAGATAGCAAGGGTTCTGGCTGATAAAGAGATGGCACGAGTCGAGCGGGAAGATCCCGCGCTGCTCAAGGAATCAGGCGACGCAGTCAAAGCACGAACTCTCGGTCCAGCGAGCATGAGACGAGAGCTGACGCGGTCAAAGACCGAACAACACCCGCCTCATCGCCCATGAAGCTCGAGGTTGATGACATGTTGGTGGCGGAGAAGCCAGTCCCGGTCGTCGCCGCCAAAGTAGTCTCACCAGATGTCACGTTGGAAGCTGACAACGGTCCGCTCGAGGCTGACGACGATGAGGGTGTCGAGGACATGGAAATCACCCCACCGAAGCTTCAATACCGATCAACGAGGATGATGAGGCGGTCGGCTGTTTGAGCTAGCTGGCTGCCCAGCTTTTGGGCGACGGCAGTGAGCTCGCTCGAAGGCACCAATTGCAATTTATCTTCGGCTTGGCAATTTCGCGAGGCCTGCCGGACGCCGTCGAGGACGGGGCATTTCAATTCCCAAACGAGCCATGCCTGCAGCTGTTCGCAACCGCATGTTCCACATGAATCACAGCTTCTTGGTCACTTGTTTGCATTTTTCTTTGGAATATTGAACACAGCATAGCGTCCATTCAACGGTATGAACAGCTCATGATGGGGAGGTGGGGATAGGACTTTAAAAAGCTGGGAGAGGCAATGGGGGCGGTGACCGAGATCGCGCAACAACTTTGTGCCGATGCCATAGCTGAGGGGACGACATGGGAAAGAAATGGGTTGCCAACGCAACAACCAAACCACTTGGATGAGGAGCACTTGGACGAGGAGTTGATTGATTTTCAAAGTACATCTCTGGCGCACTGGGTGCCGAGAATGACATGACCGTAGATTTGGGTCTGGAGTCTTTTTGGAAGATATGCCGCATTTTCCCTTGCTCAATGTGTTCCACGAGGGCGTCAACGCGTATTCTTGCTGATACTTTGCCAAGCCGTTTGATGCATGGCTCAAGCATGGCCGAAGCCTTCAGCGCCTTGAGCAGGTACCTCAGGTACCTTAGTCTGGAGGACAAGTGTGATCAAAGCCAAGACCCTGACCCCACCGCGGGGTCGCGATCTTGCTGCTGCCAAACTGCGGGGCAAACGAAGCACCTCAATTTGGCGACAAAAGCCCAGCAACATCATCACTGTCCGATAGGTTCCCCCGGAGCTCTCTTACAGTCAACATTCCTATTGCAGCTCAAGAGTGACGGCATCGTATCTCGACAGAATGGCCGAAGCCAAGACCCACGCAGAGGCTCTGCTGCCCCGGTTCAAGCTAGAGCGCCTCCTCAACCAAGGTCATCACCATGTGTTCTCCCTCCCCCGTCTGGGTGCGATCAAGGTTGACTGACGTTGCCCCCAAAGACCAGGCCGGCCGCAGATCAAGTCTTCTTGGTAGCATTGACGACAAACCGGCGCTCCTCATACTCGAGCGTGCCCCCTTTCCCGTCTCGACGGCCTACCTCGGCGAGACGCCGGCGGCGCTCTCGAGCCTCAAGAACCTCGGCGCCAACGACATATACTTTTGGTTCCTCGCCCGGAGCGGCATCGTGCCGTCGACGCCGGCGGACGACGCCGACGCCGACTTTTTCGCCGACCTCAAGATCAACCTCATCTACCCCTGCACGAGCACGCACGTGGCCAAGTACAGCAAGCAGCCCGTCCGGCTCGTCACGGAGACGGCCGAAATCTACCGCGACCACGTGCGGCCGTACATGCAGCGCAAGCGCGACGAGGGCCGGCTGAACTGGGTCTACAACATCATCGAGGGCCGCAAGGAGGTCGAGGACGTCATCTACAGGACGCCGCTGGGCGCCGCCGGCGACGAGGGGTTCCTGCTGCTGCCGGACCTCAACTGGGACCGCAAGACGCTCGACGCGCTGCACCTGCTGGCGCTCGTCGAGCGGCGCGACATTTGGTCGCTGCGCGACCTGCGCCGCCGCCACCTCCCCTGGCTGCGGCACATGCGGGCGCGGCTCGTCGAGGCGACGACGGCGCAGTACCCGAGCATCGACGACGACCAGCTCAAGCTGTACGTGCACTACCAGCCGACGTACCACCACTTTCACGTGCACATTGTGCACGTGCAGCTCGAGGCGGGCGCGACGCAGGCGACGGGCAAGGCGGTCGGCTACGAGAGCATCATGGAGACACTGGGCGCCATGGACGCGAGCGACGAGGAAGCAGGCATGGATCGCCTGGCGTTGAGCTACACGCTGGGCGAGGCCAGCGAACTATGGACCGAGATCTTCGCGCCGCTGCGCCCTGCCGTCAGACAACGTCCTCCCCCCGCGCATCCGCAGCCGCCACGGCCCGCTGCCGGTACTTCTTCTCAATCGCTATGACGAGGTCGTTGACGCCGGCGCCGAACGGGCACTGCGTCCACTCGCCGCCGTCGCGGATGCAGTACACCTCGTCGTCGAGCCGCACCGTGCACGACAGCGTGACGCCCGCCTCGGCCGTGCGCGTCACGCTATCGCGCAGCAGGCCGACGCCGTAGGCGCCGTCTTCGCGGACGGCGCACTCGTTGAGCACCTTGATGTCGATGGCGTGTTCGAGGGCGCACGCCTCGATGAGGCTCTGGTCGGGGATCTCGCGATACGAGCGCGTGATGCACATGGTGAAGCCGAGGCTGATCTTGGGGTCGGGGTAGAGCTTCGCCGCGCAGAGCTCGATAATGTTGCCCATGCCTGTCATATGGGAGTCAGTTTTTTTTTTCTCCTGTTCCTTTTTTTTCCTTTCCAAGTGAGGTCTGGGGAGATGTAGAGGGAGCAAACATACACTCAGAAGGCCCGTGACGGCAGTCAACGCCGTCATCTTGGGTCGGTCTACGGAGGAGAGTCAGTCAAGCGTGCGAGACGGAAAGGGAAGCGGACAGTAGCCTAGACGTACGTTCCGACAAAAGACAGTTTCCAGTCCACCTTGTCATGTGCGCGCATCATGACCGGCAGGACCATGTCTCGCAGGCAGTCCTGCATACGATGTCATGTCAGCAACTTGGTATCATGACTGGGCGGCCTCGATCCTCAAGACTGGCTGCGACGTACCCGTGCATCCGGGCACTTGCTCATGATGTGCGCTTCCAGGGGCACCAGCCTGTTGACCTTGCTCGCGAGTCCGGCGCCGTTGTTCGCTTCGGCGGCCTTGCCAGGTGCGGCGGCGGCCTTTGCTGCGGCGGCCTTGTCATTGTCGATGCGTATCCTCGAGGTGATGCCGAAATACTGCCACAGGTTGTAGCCGAGGATGCCGAGCAGGATGATGATGATGAGGGGACGGGCGCGGCGAGAGGATCGGGTCCCGGAGAAGAAGCCGCGCTTCTCGTCCATCGTGACGTATGGCTGTTCTTTGCTCGGTAGGGAGCAAGGCGGATCGTTGGCAGGGATGGGCGACGACAGGGGCCGCGCGGTCTGGCCGGCGGACAAGTGCTTGGGTTTCTGTTGTTGGTCGAGGTAGCGGTATCGCGACGAGTCGATACGCATGCTGTGGTGAGGGCGGATGGATGGGAGGGGGGGGTAGATGGAAAGATGCAAGACGACTGAAATGCAAGACGTCGCAGAAAACAATCCAAGGATGATGGTTGTGTGGAGAGTCAGCAATCTAAGGCCCGAGGGATTCCTGGTGAGGGAGTGGTGGGATTAGGTGTGGATGATTTGCTTGGGGAGACGACGACGCGGCGCGCATGGGCGATAGGGCGGTACATCTAATCGCGGTTCCCCAGCGCCGTGGCGGAAGTACCACTGTACAAGTAACCCCCCTGGCTTCATCTGCCGCACGTACTATGCAGCACGTTAAGTGCCTTGATAGACTCCTTGGCAGCCCGTGTTCAGCCCGTGTTCAGCTACGAGGGCCCAGGATGCAAGGGTGTCCTGGGTGTGTCGCTGCTGTGCCTGACGCCTGCCTGACGCCTGCCTGCCACTGCCATTGCCACTGCCACTACCACTGCCTCTGTCTGTCTGTACGTACTGCCTGTCATTGTTCATGGATCGTCAACCCTCGCTCGTGTCACGTTACAGTCGCCATCAGACGAACACAACCGAGTGTCCGGGTTGTGGGAGACAAGAAACAAAGAAAGCTCGGCTCATTCGTTTCACAGACTGCAACACATCGCCATGACACGTCGGTGAATTCGTGCCGTCATCCTGTTCTTCCCTGGGATATCGCTGTCCCAAGGTAACCTGGGATATCCCGCATCTTTCACGATCGTCGACACGACGAAATCTCACTTCACGCCACCTCACCAAGACATTCTGCCAGACTCCAGTCGTGGAACACAATCGTGGCACTGTCATCGCCGGCTCAAATCCTCACGTTGAGCCTCAACTTCGATTCGGAGCGCTACACCCAATTACGAACGCCCCTTGGCCTGTCACCTGGCTCATATTGGTCAACCATTGTCGGATTGGTTGAAGCTGTCTTTCACTGAGGTCAACCACCGCATCACACTACCAAGTGCTTGATGGCCCTGCCGATACGACGTAGACCACCTAGCTTTGCGACCATACGCAGATACGTCGGCTCTAAGCACATGAGACCCATGTGCGAACCATGACAATGAGTTCCGATACCCGATTGAGTTTGCAGGACTTCCTACAACCACTCCATGTCGACCTTGATACAATACACAGCCTATCAAAGGCCTTCTACCACAACTTTATCCATCTCGCAGCTGATGACCTTGCTCAGTTCTTGCCCACGCCCATCTCCGAATCCATTCTGAAACCTGTCAGCAAGAGTGGCCACGGAAGGTGAGCTTGTCTTCGCCTGCATGAAGCTGCACCCTGTCACCCTGCCACAAGCTAACCCCTTTGCAGACATCTTGCTATTGACATGTGAGTACTTCCCCCTTGGTGACATTGACCGTACTCACTCTCTCTCTCTCTCAGTGGCGGTTCCAACCTCAGAGTGGGTTTCATCGAGCTGTCGCCAGAGGAGGCTGTCTCTCGCGAGGGTGGTCACGGTCATACCAACGGGGCCTCTAATGGCGTTTCCAATGCCGCGACCCGTGTCGCCCGCCTCAAAGAGCAGTCGTGGCCCATCGCCGAGCATCTCAAGAGCATGAACGATACGAAATTATTCGACTGGATCGGCGAATGCATCGCCGCTGTCGTCACCGAAGGCTGCCGCGCCTGGGCCTTTGCCGCCGACGAGCCGATACCCCTGGGCATCACTTTTAGTTTTCCCATGGTCCAGCGGTCCCTCAACGAAGCCTCTATCATAGCCATGGGCAAGGGATTCGCCATCCATGGCGATGTCGAGCTTGGATCTTTGTTACTGACTGGCTACAACAAGTCCCGCCGAGAGCTGCCGCCGATTCGCATCGCCGCCATAGCCAACGACTCGGTCTCGACGCTCGTCTCCTTCAACTACCTATACGGCGAGGACAGCCGCAAGAAAGCAGCCATGGGTCTCATTGTAGGCACGGGCTGCAACGCAACCATCCCTCTGAAGCTCGCCGCCCTCCACGAAAGCAAACGACCTGCAAGGATCAGCCTGCTCCCGGGCGAGGCCCCAGAGCAAGTCCGCATCGCTGTCAACACGGAGTGGAGTATCAAGGGCTCTGCGCCGCCACTCCAGAAACTCGGCCTGATCACGAGGTGGGACGAGGCTCTCGATGCCGCTGGCGAGATGCCCGGTTTCCAGCCGCTGGAATACATGACAGCAGGGCGCTACCTGGGCGAGCTGGGGCGACTCATGCTGCTAGACTATCTCGATAGTCGTCTGGGTGTTGATGCTTCGGCGTTACCCAGCGCGTTGTTGACGCGCCATGGCATGACGACGACCTTTCTGAGCCACTTCCGACCCCTGGACCCAGACGCGCTGGTCTCTCAGCTGGAGACCGAGTTTCCAACCAAGGCGCCTTTCCGATGGACGACCGACATGGCCACGGCGCTCTATCACATGAGCAAGGCAATCGAAGTCCGTGCCGCAGGCATCGTGTCTGCTGCTGTGGTGGCGCTGCTTCGCATGGCTGGTGATGTCCCAGAGGCAGGCGACGGCAGCGGCGCTGAGGAAGAGGAACCGAGGGAGCTGGGTGTCGGGTACACCGGAGGCTGCATCGCGCATTTCCAGGATTACCTGCACGACACGCAGCGCTTTCTCGACGAGCTGGTAGCGAAAGATGTGGGAGACAAGCCGCCTGTGCGCATCGTGCTGAGTCCTTGTCACGATGGTGGTATCAAAGGAGCAGGCATATTAGCTGCAGCGGCAGAGTCGAGCCTCGACAGGGAAACATGACCAGCGAAATCATGGTATATGTGCTCTGTTCGGTTTGAAGCACCCATGAATAAATTTATGAACATGATTATGAATACATGGCCTCGACCACGTTCGACTAGAGCTCCAAGCTCGCCCACCCAAACTCCCAACGTACATCCTCGCTCAAGTCCACCTGGTATATGTACCTCGCTTGATCCACCTGGTATATATACCCAAAGCCAAGCCATCCCACCCCCCTCATAACGACGCACCACAAGACACGCCTCTCAGCAACGCCCACAGCAGAGCCAAAACCGGCACAACAAAAGCCCAAGCCCTCATCCCGCCCAAGGAAAACCGGCGCCCTCCCCGCCTCCGCCGCCGCTCGCACCGCCCCGTCCCGAACACAACGCACCCGAGCCCGGCCCGGCTCTCGCACTCGCCGTGCATGCGCCGGCGACGAATGACGCGCGCGACGCCGCCGCGGCAGAAGCGCAGGTCGCTGGCGAGGTCGCAGCCGCGGCCGCACGAGGGGCACGCGAGGCGCTGGGCGCGGCGCTCGAGGAGCCAGGCGACCTTGAGGCGGACACCCGTGTCCGTCGTCTGGAAGAAGTGGCGGTTCGTGTGCTTCAGCGAGAGGGCGTCGGGGTAGGAGAGGTGGGCTGTGATGAGCGACTGGAGCTCCGGCGGCAGGGTTGGCAGCGTCGGCGGCGGGGGAGGGGGGGTTCTGTTTTCGCTGTCATTCGGCGGGGTGCTTGGATCTTTGGGTGGTGTTGTCTGGCGTGGTGGTGCTCGGGTTGGGTGTGAGCAAGAGGTTGTGCATGAGGTGGAGGGTGGTGGGGTTGGCGCTGGCCCAGCTCGTACGATGAGGGTCATGGCGACGGTAGTCAAATCTGATGTGGGAACAAGAATATGGCGTATGATGGCCGAGGTGCTGCGGGAAGAGATGCAGACAACCTGACGCCCTGCTGCATGCGATGACATTCGCTTTGTATCGTACTGCTGCCTGCTGCGCCAGGCGGTGACTGAAGTCGTGGCTCCTTCATAATCCTGGCTGCCTGCGGGAGGCGTCGCGCGAGTGCAGGGGCCAATGCTGACAGCCCTGGCCGAGTACTATTGAGTGGCGATGAGGGACATGGGTAATTGGCGATGGACGATGGCATCAATTTTGTGAAAGTGGGTGTTAAGTCAGTGTGTTGTCTCTCCAATGTGCTGCCTTGCAAAGCCGGATAAAATCTCTATGCTGGCCAGACCAGAGAATGAATGCAACATCTGGATGCCATGTACTTCTAGTACGGACAACGAGTTCGTCAAGTCGTTCAATGCTGCCCTTCATCTACCCCAGAAGCTTGCTCTGTCTTTCCAGAAATAACACCTTGGGCCGATCCGACTCAAAGGTCAACTTCTTCTCCGCCATGACGATCTCCATGTCCAACGCACCCTCGCGCAACTCCCATGCACCGTGTTGTGTCGCAATGTGCTCATACCACAGATGGAGTCCATACGCTCGCCTCAGCTGCTGCACCATCATCACCTCTACCGAGCACCAGGCGCGCTCGTAGTACTGGCCATCGACCAGGCTGATGACGGCATTGCACTGGGCCACGATCATCGGCAGCGCAGAGACCCCTGGCATCGGGTCGTCCTGGTCCACACAGCTGTGGTCGAGCCAGATGCCGAGGCGCGAGGGTTCGACTGACGGGTGCAACCGTAGAAAGGCCTCCACAGCGGCGACCATGCGCCCGAATTGCGTGTTGTTCACATCGTCTGGCGAATCGCGTGACTTTTCCGTGTTGATCCAGCGGTAGGAGATGAAGATGACAAAGTCAACAGTGTCTGGTTCATGGGAGAGGGTCGATCGAGAGACCAGAGGCAAGACGAGGCCGTCGTTTGATCGCGGGAGTCTTCCAAAGGCGAGGAACTCGGTGTATCGCAAAACCTTGAGACGGTCAAACATACGGCCCCTCTCCATATCTGAGGACAAGCTATCGTCATATGTGTGCCGCAGAGATCGCAGTGAATTGGTGGCGTCACCTCCGTTGGACAGCAGCACAGGTCTCAATTTCTCTTGAAAGAGCTCGCGGTATCCTTTCCGGAGCTTGGCCTCCACTTGCAACCTGGCAAACTCAGGCTGCCGATGGTCCCCAAGCTGGCGGCGAAGGCCTTCGAGGACAAGGTCTTTCATGGCTGCATCGTTGTTAAACACGGAGTGATCGAGCGCTGTATAGCCTTGGTTGTCCACGAGATCCATGTTGGCGCCCACGTCTACAAGCTCGCGCAAGTACTCATAATTTTCGCTGGAAGGCTCCTTGCAGAGTGCAATGGCGCACGAGCAGGCGCTCGGTAGGTTGAACTGCGCCATGGCCTCATCCACCCTGCCCTGAAAAAGTAGGGCTCGTCCATAGAAAAACCTCGAGAGGGCCATGACGGCTGGGTCTTCGAGCCTGTGAGAAAGTTTGAGGGCGGCATGTGCAACGTCGACGGCTGCCTGTGTGTTGCCTTGCGCTGCAAAACAGAGCGAGAGGCGAGACTGGCCGATAGACTCCCAGGTGACGGCCAGTTGTCGACGAGACGCTGCCTTTGCCGGGCTTACACCGTCAGCTGCTACCTCGCCCAGATGTTGCGCCAGCTGGACGCGTTCATTCAACTGGGTGATGGCCAAGTCCAGCAGTCGATCGTCACGACGCTGTTGTGAGAGCTGGAAATTAGCCATGCCCAAGTTCCCAACGGCGCGGCATAGTGGCTTCTGCCACTGCAGCTTTTTCGCCGCGTCATACTGAAGCTGAAACGCTTGTTGGGCCTCGTCCAGACGCCCCATGTGCCGCGCAACAACGCCGAGCTCGCCGCTGAGGATGATCAGCTCCTGCGTAGCTTCATCCCCGTTCTCGACCAGCCCCTGTTGCAAGAATGCCATGGCCTGCTCGTAGCGCCCGATACATCGATTGGCCAGGCCCAGTTCCTTCAAGACGCGGCATCGATAGATCTTTGCGTGGGCGAAAGAGGCGAATGCGTCGCATATCGAAAGAGCATAGCTGAAGTCACGGAGAGCCCCCTCCCACTCAGCCTGTCGAGCGTGCTTCTTGCCACTCCTCATACGGCTGAACCAGGAACGCGTTGCACCAATGGCTCGAGCCAGAAGAGCCGGCGTGAGCCCGTCGGGCACTCGGGTTGTCAGGCGAGGTTCGACGCCAGTCGGCGCAAGGCTGGCAGCATTTTGCGAGGACCCGCGGCTAGAGTCCTGGTAGCATAATGTGGCATAAAACTCTTCAGGAGGGACGATCGTGGCATGATATGCTCCTGCAGCAATAGAGTACACAGCGTTGTGACTGTGTAGGTCATGAGGTATTGGCGAGGCACGCACCATGACGCCTGTGTTGCCCGCCGGAAGTACCTGGTCATGATGCTTTGTGCCACTACTGGTGCCGATGCGATGTGTGGCAAGACTCGGGTCGGATGTCTCCTCGACCTGGTATGAGCATATAGCCCCTTTGCTAGCAAGCACAAAACTCTTCGTATAGAGCTTTTCGGAGCGAATCGGCCTACTGACAACTCGTTGAGAGCCGGGTAGTAGCACGCGAATCTCGACCCGCTCTTGAGATTCATCCAGATCACTTTCGTAAATTTTCAGTCCGAGGAAGCCATGCGAGGACATCGAGAGACGCCATATTTGAAAGTCGCCAGCGTCGACAGAGAGGCCCTGTTGAATGAGGCGCCAAACGAGATCAATATCATACAAGGGCCGCGCTTGGTCGTCTTGACCTTTCCGACGTAGAATGGCGACACCCAGGGCGACACTTCGGATGGCCTTGGAAGTGTTATCCGACTCGAGACATTTCGTCTCCAGTTCCCACTCAGCGACGGTGCGTGAGGTCAAGCCATCGTTTCGAGGTTCGCCCCATGACACGAGGCGTTGAATGACGTTCTCCGGAAGGGCGGCTGCTGATGCAGTTCCACGTATAGCTTGGCAAAGCTCATCCCGCCGGATTCTGATGCTCGTGGCATCGTCTTGCTCGAAGCCGGTGATTGTGCACTGTGAGTCAATTGTAGCGATCGTCCCGCCTGTTGAACAGGCGTGTACGCCTGGTCGTGTCAACTTTCTCTCGCAAATACTCATGTCTTCATAGCTGCAAGTCGTGCTTCTGGTCCGGATTCGATCTTCGTGGGATTTCCTTCCACTGCATCGTTCTTATAGTGCTGCACCGCTGGGAAGCATTATGGGAAGGATGCCGTGGGGAGCACAATGCAAAGCTACTGCAACATCTGACGCGTGGTCTCCACTGAAAGCCCGATATTGCCTGCATCTTTCTTGCAAGAAGGATCGATACCCGTGCCGAATATGATGCATACAGTCCTTCGAGGATGCTGTCTGACAGGCCTGATTGGCAGACAGGAATAGCGTCGATGGCATGAACAAGGCGCAGCCTCAGCAGAGCATGGGTCATGAAGGTGCTTGGCCGACTGGTGGTGTTGATCAGGCAGCAGACGCCGGACCACAGCACATGTTGGAGCACGCCACGTGACTTCGTGTCAGGCAGCACCCGTCATCACCCGAGCGCGTCTCAATTGCCCCTCCATGATAAGTACTACCGTCTCGCACAAAGTCGTGACGCAACAGGCGTCGAACGGCCCACTCGACGGACTCAATCCTCTCGACATGGTCTTGATTCTTCTTCGACATGGCGTCCCTTCCAACGCTGGATGATGACAGTGACTACGAATTCTCGCTGGAAGAGGAAACACTCCTGAGCCAGCTGGTCACAGACCACACCACAAAGCAGCCGATTATACCCATTGCGTCGGCGATTATTCCGAACCAGGTAGAAACACCGCGACGGTCTCAACCAGATCATGCATTTCACGACGCCCAGGCTGGCCATGGCTTCGCGCTCAAGCGTCCATCTGGTGCTTGGGCCCAGGACCCGAAGTCGTGGTCCACAGGCAGCCTGGCAGAACCACCGAGCGCCCTCGAGAGGGTTCTGCGTGACGACCAGGTTGTCAGCTATCCCGATCGTGAGTCAACACGTCGCGACAGTATTTCACTGAAACTGACTGACCTGAAGCGTCTAGTCGGCAAAGCATTATCAGCCTTTGTGGCCCCTGAAACTCCGGCTCCCCGTTCTGTTGCCGACCCAGACTCTGACACGCGCTCGCCGCTCGTACGATTTCGATCATTTCCCAAGAAGCCTTTTTCAGTGAGCGATCTGACAGCTGGATCATGGTGCGAGCTGCAATACTTCTACACGTTGACAAGACTTCCGTTTGGCAGAAAGACCCGGACGGTGGCCATGAAAGAGGGCACCAAGCTACACAAGGAGCTCGAGGATGAAGTGCACACAACGGTCCGTGTTGAGGTTGTGAGCAAAGAGGATGCGTTCGGCCTGAAGGTGTGGAACCTGATACAGGGCCTCAGGACGCTGCGCGACACGGGCCTAACGCGTGAGCTCGAGGTCTGGGGGTTCGTGGACGGAAACCTCGTCAATGGCGTCATTGATGGCCTGAGTTACGACCACCCTGATCCAGAGTTTGAGGCCGAGCTACGACAAAGCCAAGAGTCGCAACCTAGCATCACCGACTACTTTGCGTCACAGAAACCTGGCATGCAGAGAATACCGCAAGTCTACCTCACCGATGTCAAGACTCGGGGCAAGCGCAGCACGGCCAACGTGGCGCAGCTAAGGCCGGCCAAGGTGCAGCTGTTTCTGTATCACAGATTCTTATCGGTGATGGCAGCTGAGAAGCTGGACTATCTACGAGTATTCCGGCGGTACAACCTCGACCCTGATGAGCCCTTTTCCGACTCGTTCATCGCACAGATTGCAAGTCTACACGACGACGAATTCTTTGATATCGACCATCCAAGCGATGACGAGGACGTGCCCAAGGCTTCCGGCAGCCAACAGCCCGCGGACGGTTCTCAAACATCAACTGCCTCTTCGGCCCCGGATTTCATCAAGTACAGGACATTACGCGAGCTTCTGCCGCTGCTAGTCGCTGAGCTGAAACAGACATTCCCCCATGGCGCCGACTCTGTTGGTCGTCTTCTTTCGGTGGAATACCGATACCGTGCCGACGGGTCGCTGATCGACAACCGCATCTTTCCCATGGACGACGGCGCCCTAGATTCCTACATCGGCGGTACCATGCAATGGTGGAAGGCAGAGCGGGAGCCAAAGGGCGTGCAGATCGAGGATGCCTGGAAATGTCTGTATTGCGAGTTCGCCGAGGTGTGCACCTGGCGCAAATCGATGGACGAGGGGAGACTGCGAAGCTCACGGGAACGGCTGGAGGTGAAGAGGAAGAACAGCGGCCAGTGATGGCGAAGAGGCGGATGCGGCGTGAGTTTTGCTATTTGCCTGCATCTATTGGATACGGACACGCCAAAGTGTGCGTTGTTTTATAACTGATGAATACTTCGATATATCAACCTATTCGTGCCTTGGACTGTTGAGACGTAGCGAAGAACCTGCATGTGGGTGATGTTTGGCCCTCTATCTAGTGCATGTCTGCCTTGCTGCCGAATATGAGACCGAATATGAGACCTTCAGTAGGACCGCCCTGTATGCGCCCAGCTTCTCGCGTTATTTTGCCACCCAGGCTACTATGACGGCGTTGCTGCTGCATTTTTGAATTGGCTCAGCATATGTTTGAGACACCTCCTCCACAAGATGACACGCGGACCACTCCCTGCATCAGGCTTACTACCTGTGCTTGAAGAAGCAGTTTCTGGAATTACATACAACCAAACGTCCAGGGCCGTCCTAACCGGGCGAGAAACGTGACTGGACTTTCGCTCCACGCGACTGCTATTTGTGCAGTAATGATTTGTGGACAGCGAGCCAACAGACAGCTTAAAGACGCTGTTTGCGGTACCGGCACAGCTCGTTCTACCACCCGCTGTCCGCTTCGCCTGTATGCCGGACCAACGCACAGTCAGGCCGGCTCGGCAGTGGTATCCTTCAGAGAAATGCAGCAATGCTACGCTGGGCCGTCGTCTCCCACGAGAGGCTTTTCCCGACGTATCATGACGCTTGGATGGTCGAACTTCAGTCAAAGTGGCGCGCAACATGATGCTCCACAGCAGCAGCATCCCCCTCAAACGCACCACAGACTGGGCAGGTCACAGCCTCAGCCTCTGCACGCTCAACGACCGGATTCGGCTGAACCCCATCCTCGCTGGAAGGCGCTGGATCGTCAGCCCCAGGAGGGGACGGGCCGCCCTTGGCCTTGCGCTTCGTCTTTGCAGGCTTGATATACGCATCCAAGCCAATCGTCTGCGAAGGACGCTCCGGCTCGTCGCGGTAGTCGCGGGGTCCGCGCTGACGGCCCGGACCTCTGGACGTCGCGGGCGCCGAGCTGGCTGCGTCGGGGGACACTGCCATCTCGGAAGCGGCAGGCTGAGACGCGGCTTGCGCGGCGCCGGCCATGGACTGGACCCTGCCGACCCTGCCGTCGGTGAGGCGGACTTTGATCCCGCGGGGGTGGTTGCCGCGGGTGAGCACGTCCTGGACGGCGCCGGAAACTGTTCGGCCGGTTGGCTGGTCGGCCTTGAGGACGATGTTGACGCTGGCGCCGCGGATGACGGCTGTTGTTGTTGGCACCCGAGTCATGAGGAGGGATCTTCTGAGATTGGCGAGAGACATTCAAGGTGGAGAGTGGGGATGTGGATTGACTCTGGAGATCGAGGCTCTTCAGATCAGAGATCAGCTAGAGACGGCCATGAAGAAGTGCTGTCGTGGTTGTCACGAGGTGATCTCATTTCGGGGTCGTGGGGTCCTAAGTCTTGCCTCTGGAATCTTTGCATTTGTGCTTAGGGATGACGTCACGTGGCCAGGGAGAATTGGTCGGAACTTCACGCCTGAGGTCAATCCCTCCCTCGTTCTCTGCTCTTTCTTGGGGCGCTGGCACATGAGGTAACAGTCCGTCAGTCAATTGCGTTCTCAGAAATTTGGCGGAATTTTTTTCTTCATCTGTTGGTGTTGGTTAGGCCACCGAGCTGTTCGTGCGTATTGTAAGGACCACTGGTCCTCGCTCAGCAGACATGGCCTGAAGCTTGGAGGTCCTAGAGTTACCAGGGCCTCATGGCCTTATGGCCTCATGGCCTCATGGCCTTATGGCCATTTGGCACTTGGTGCATGCTGCATTCGATCGCGGCCCTTGCAACATCAATTGCCTCGATCATCATGAGCTTTACTACCCCGGCATGAAAGGTCTATGCTTGGAAGTACTGTCCAGGCGTGAATCAAGGACATGGTGAATGCACTTGCAGTGTTGGCCTCCTGAGCAATGACAAAGCGGATGCCACTCCTAGAATTCATTCGCGGACGGCCGCTAAAGAAGCTATTGATGCGGGTACTTGGTATGTCGGCAGGTATTCTGACCATGGCATTTCTGGATTCTTCACGCAAAAAGGCTTTTTCATGTTCTGCGGCTGAGAAAGGTAAGGTTGTTAGTTGTAGGGGCGAATGAGCTTTTCATGAGACTGCCCAGCGAATTGCCTGGGCCAAGTAATTCCCCGTCTTAGAGCCTCTCCAGTAGACTTAGCCCCTTGCAACGTTGTCGGCCCGTTCAACGGAATCGCCGATATGGTATTGCTGCAATCACTGCAGCTCGTCGGTACGAAAGCTGATTTCGTTGGCCGCGACCAGGACTCAGCTGAAGGTCTGGGTATGCAGAGGCAGCGCTCAGTCAGCAGTGGTACCACTTCGCCGACGCAGTAAGACGGGGGGCTGTGGCATCGATATATGAACCAACGGAGCTGAGAAACCTATTCGATCGAAAAGCTCTCCAGCAACGGGCTCCTGCGGCAGGGCTATGCAACAATACGCCTGCGTTCAGATGGAGGCAACCGAGTCGGTGGTGAGCCAGCGGTCGTGAAGTTGCAGAGTAATCGGCGACCAGAACACGGAGTTGCCCGAACGCACTGCTTCAATTCATTCAGGCTGAAAGAAAGATCTCGAGAGGACTTTCGTGTGAATTCGCGGGTGTTGTATATAAATCGAGTCCACCAAGCCCGTTGATATCCAGTTTCTTTCCCCATCAGTACACTTCAACTTTATATCTCACTAGCCTTGTCCTTCTGCGAACAATTCGAGACAAACAGCGTCAACACTGCTATATTCAAAGATGCTTTTCCTGCAAAACATTGCTGTGGTCACCGCCATGGTGCTGTCAGTGCCATCGACGGCCTCCGTCATGCGGCGCCAGAACAACTCGAGTCGGATCCTCAGCGAGAGTCCAGCCCTCGAACCCATCGTGAACGGCCACGACTTTGCCTACTATTTTGAAGTCAAGTTCCAGCCGCTGGTGGACTTCGACACGGACAGCTGCTACAGCGTGCCCGCCATGACCATGGACGGAACCGCATCCGAGGGCCTTTCGCCCTCCGACGACGTCGGCCCGTGCCGTCCCCGCTCCGCCCTCGACCGGACCAACGTGTACGTCAGGGGCCGCTGCAACCGCGGCTGGTGCGCCTTTGTCTACGCCTACTACTTCCAGATGGACTGGGCCTGGTCGTGGCCCGTCAGCGGCTACAACCACCGCCACGACTGGGAGCACGTCGTCGTCTGGGCCAAGGAGGGCAAAGTCCGCGGCGTGTCCGTCTCGCAGCACGGCGGCTACGAGAGCCGCGTCGCCGAGGACCAGAGGCTTCGCTTCGACTACACGCCCAAGGAGTTTCCGTATCCTGCGTGGGACCCCATGCCGACGAGCGTCGCCATGCACCCCAAGGTTGTCTTTCACAAGGACGGCGCCCGCACGCACTGCTTCCGCTTCGCCAAGGACAGCGACGACTACGAGGGCCAGGAGAATGAGAGGGGTATTTGGATTCGTGGCGGTCTCGTCAGCATGCTGCTCATGCCGAGCGACTGGCAGGACAAGTTCAGATCTCACGGTTGGGGGAGTGCTCACATGGCATGGGCTAATGAGGACGACTTTACCGGCCATCTCGTCAAGTCCATGCCGCAGGAAGCCAGAGACGACGGGTTTGACTGTGCCTACGATGAGAATCCAGCTCTCAAAGGCTTTCCCATGGACTGGAAGAAGTGGGACTGATGTCGGCAAGTTGGACCGATGTGAGAGCCCAGGGCACAATGGAAGCCAGACCCAGGGGGTAGATGGCATGTTTCAAGATTGCAATATTTTCGATATTTCAGTACCCATAGACGTCCCAACGACAGCATTTGAATAGTCACAGTGTGAATTATAGAGCAATACGAACTAACCATCACATGTCTTTCCTCCCAGCTCCGTCAGACGCCTCTCTGCAGGAGCCTTCGAGGCACCACATCATTTCCAGATAGCATGCCCCCTGCGAAGCCTCCTCATAGTGACTCCTCTAGCCGATAACGGACAAAGTAGTGCTCGTGGCTTCAACTGCGAATGGCCTACATCCACCTCTGGATCATGGGGGCTGTCACAATTCTGAGCCGCTTGCCATAGAGCCACAGAGGAATGGTCGTCAGGGAGAAGAGGCCCATGAGCATGCCGAAGATGCCGAATGGCTCAGCCGGGCCAGTCTTGTGCTCCCAGTCCGAGACGAAGAAAGTCCAGGCAAAGGCGATGCAAGAACGGATGATCGTGGCCACGGTGAAGCAGTCCGATGCGGCGACAGTGTACGCATCAATGAGCTGGGAACACGGCATTAGCAACAATCCTAGACACTTCGTAGCCAGATGTGAACCATGGGTGAGCCACTTACGTAGTTGAATCCGATGGAGGGCACCTGCATCAGGCCAAAAGACAGCATGGCGAAACCAACTTGCAGTCCAACCCAACGAGTCCCGCCAGGGTACTGCGCGCAGAAGCCGAAGACGAAGAACCCACAGGTCGAAAGGGCAAGTGGGAAGGCCAGAAGAGGAAGACGGTCCTCCGCCTCTGACATTCCGTGTCCGCGGACCTTGGCCTTCTTCTTGAAGCGGGCGTCGGAGAGTACGTAGGTGTAGATGTAGCCGAGAACGACGCCGACGAGACCGCCAATGTTGACCAGACCGGCATTGGCACCCCACGAGTACGGCGGCATGGCCATCTGATTCGCGCCCACCGTGGAGATGGTGACGATGCCACCGACTAGACCGGCGTAATGGAGCGTAACGACCCATGTGCCAGGCAGGAGGAGGGCTCGCCACGGTCGTGTGAAGTGGTCCACCAAGCTGCCGGTCGGGCGACGGAAGCCCAACGACGCCACAAGCGAGACGGGCTCGACGAGTTCGTGACTCTCCTCATGTATGGCCTGGCCTTTCCGTTTCTCGTCGCTCAGCTCCGGGCTCGAAGGCTCGGCCCTGTCAAAGAGTGATTCGGGCACGAAGACCAAAGTCGTGAGAAAACAGAAGCCCGCGAGGGCGACGCTGACCCAAAATGTCGAGTCCCAGCCATAGTGGAACGCGATGTAGCCACCACTCAAACCACCAGCCGTTGCGCCGGCGGCGAGGAAAATGGTGTACACGGCCTGTTCAGTGGCTCCAGTCAGTCGCAACGTCTTGGGGGATGTGTATCAGAAGAATCGATGTCGCAGGCTTACCATGGCGCGGCCTCTTTCGTGGGCGAAGAACATGTCGCCTACCAAGGCAGGGGCGACTGTTTCAGATGCACCACCTCCAGCTCCTTGGAAGATACGAGCAGCGAGCAGCGAGTTGTACGAGGTTGCCGTGGCTCCCCAGACAGAGCAAACCGTCATCATGAGGGTTGCAATGATCAAAACAGGCCGACGTCCCGCCCAGTTCGAGAGCGGCACCCACCAAATATTGGAAGCGCCGAGCATGAGAATATTCACCTGTAATAGAACAAAAAATCATGAGCGTTAGAGTGAGCCACTCGTAGATTTGGGGGAGACGGCAAGAGTTAGATGGCTTACTGCGATGAGCCGTGTCAGGCGGAACTGCGGCTGAGGGTCATTCGGGAACTGAGCAGGCCACATCTGCAGAGATGGGGCCATCAAAGAACTCAAATAGTTGGCAACAAAAGCATAGATGGAAGCGGTCAAGAGAGCCGCAATCCTGCGCCAAGTAGGAAGATTGAGGGGGTCACGAGGGTCGGCGGATGGCTTTGGAAACAGCACAATCGAGGCGTTGGGTGTCGCACCCTCCGTGTCGCCAACATCTACGGGTTTGCACAGGTTAGACGGCTCGTCTTCGTCATGATAGCAAGTCAAAGTGTCTTGATCGCTGTCTGAGAACCTACCAAAAATCTCAACAGTACCAGGAGGTGAGGCATCCTGAACCTGGGATTTCGACAGCGCGAAGGCCTCGCGCCAAGACGCCATGCTGAATATTTGACTGGTTGTTGAGCTTGTGTGTCGATTTGGTAGCTCGTGGAGATCTTGGAAGTCTCTCTGTAAGGCACATCCCTCTCCTCAGGACGAATGCACAGGTTGTATATATGGATCATCACGACTCAGCTTGAGCCCATGAGCCCATGGACGAAGCTCAGACCTTTGCACCTCAACAACTGCGCGGCTCCACTACCCCGGATTTCTCCACTTACCGAGCATGAATTCCCCCACTGAGCCGAAGCTTTATTCTTTTCCCCGCGACAAGAGGTTGCGGGGAAGCAAAAGTTTGGCATCTCCTCCGCACGCGCTGCCTGCCGACATGCGCCACCTCCGCATCTTCATGTGAGGTCGAAGACCCCTAATCCACAAGATGTACGCGCAATGACATGTCCGGCACATGACTGGATGGGTTGGTGATGCACGGCGGGCCCTGGCGCCCAGTTTGGGGTTCTATCCCATGGTGCTACCTCGCCTGATCTAATTCGGACACACATCATGTTGGAAAGAGAAGCTTGCATTTGAAGGCTAAACCTTTGACAAAACAGGACAAGAGCAAGCTATCTCACACAGGAGTGGACACAGTCACCAGTTGTGAAATCTGCGGGAATCTCGGGATCGTTTTAGGAAGCAAGATCAGCTTTGGAAATAGTCTCACAACTCATCAAAGATATCATTGCATCCAAGTGGAAATAATGTCGCTCAGACTTCTGTCTAACCCCTTCCCCCTTCCCCCAACCCCCAATCCCGTCCTTGACTTCCAGTGCGTCAAAAGCACGTGTTCGCAAGATGAAGCTGAACGTGCTCCCATCGCAGCCTCCCAGGTCATTCTCTGACCTTCGTATTGGTTCAGAAGTGCATCTCATACCCGATTAGTCAATCCAGATTCTGAAATCTGCGTCAAAACCGTCTCCGAAACCTCGGGTCCTGATATATGAGCCTCTTCGGGAAGTGGGGGGTACCAATTACCGAGTCTGTTACCGCGCCATGGGCCAAGCCAAAAACGCGTCCACAAGTGTAGCACTGTGGGGTATACCCATTCGCGGATTTGGCCAGTAGGAGCAACCGGGTTGGTCGTTTGACCATCTTGGCACGACTATAGCCTGCAGGCCGTCAGTTGTGGATGTTGAGTTCGTCTAAGCCCCTCCACATGCTTGGATAACTGGGGCAAAATAACCATAAAATCCACGAGAAATGTGGCAGGTCTGTATTGTGGGCACCCGGGCCTTTTGGACGGGCATCGAAACTTAAGCCTACTCCGCCGCAGTTCATGTCCAGACAGGGGATAACCCTGGAAACATGATCCATGGCAGCTGACCCAAGCGGAGCCGATCCGAGTACAGAAGAGCCTCTCAATCTATCAATGGCTTCGTCCGGTTCCAACTGGACGACATCGCCGTGAAATTGTCGGCTATGCACCCCGTCTAGAGAATCCTCGGCACCCAGAAGCGCCAGTAAATCAACCGGTTTAGTCGTCAGGTTAACGGGATGAAGATCCGCGGCGATCGGAGGGTTTTGTCGGTGCCGAACTTTTGATGGTTGCTATGTACCCTTGTGGCATCGGCATCCGACGCGGAGTTGTTGAAGCGGCCGACACTCCGTGTCGTGATTTCCAGAATCGTTACATATTCCAGCAACCCCAACGAGCAGCAATCTAGATACTGCGAAGAAGAGCGAGACCGCCTCCTTGTGCACATAACATGCATTTCCACTGAGTGCATGCCGGCCGTGCTGTATGTCAAAGGATCGCAAGGTGTGCAGAATGATACAGCCACGATATTTCGCAACAGTCAAACATTCAGGTTTTGCCAAGGACGTCATGTATTTGAGAACATCGCAGGTTCAGCTACAAGAAGCGAACCAATCTAATACCGGTAGCGAAAGCCCACCGTCTTCCAATCCGTCACATCTTCATAGTCCTCTGGCCGGAGCTCGACCTGGTCCACCATCTGGGCCACATCACGCGAGCTCTCACCAGCGCCGACGACCTTGCCACCAGCCACGACTCCTGATCCGCCAGCCGAGCCCTCAAAACCCTCCTCTCTCGCACGTTTCTTGTTCTGCCACTGCAAATACGTCCTCAGCGTGAGCGCCAGCACGACGACGAGTGAGTAGCAGATCATGATGGTCTGAAACGCGGTGTTGTACGCCGGGGCCTCGCTGGCACGGAAGAAGTGCGGGCCGGCAATGTTGCCAGCGCAGTAGGCAACGAAGACGAGCGCCGAGACGGTCATCTTCTTGGTGACGCCGCGGTAGTTGCTCTGTACGAGAGACAGGCTGAGGGGCATGGCACCAGGCCCCGAAGCAAGGAGAAAGTAGGCGAAGAGGTGAACGCCGCTAGGGCTGATGTGCTCGCGGCGGTAGATCATGGCGGAGCCGATGATACAGGGTGAAACGACGCAAACGATGAGGAGGCAGTTCATCGTGCGGTAGCGGCCGGCAAGCCAACCGGTGCCGGCGATGACCGACGCAGCTAGCAGAGAGTAGGGGATGTTGATGAGGGTCGACTGCAGACTTGTGAAGCCGAAGGAGCGGATGACAAGGTTGGCAAAGTTTTGAGTGCCACCGTTGGGAATCTGCGTGGTCACCTCGAGGGCAAAGATGAGCCACGTCTTGGGATCGACGAAGCATTCTTTGACCTGGTCGAGGCGCCAGTTCGTCTTCTCTGTGCTACCTGTACCGGCAACGATGACGCGGTCTGCGGCGAACTGGCGCTCCTCGCCGTTCAAGAAACGAGCGTTGGAGATGCGATCGGGGAGAAATGTGAAAATAGCAAACGACCAGACGAAAGTGCCGAGACCGAGGATGATGTACATGGCACGCCAGGGACCGACCACATTGTCTGGGCTAATGTGACCAGCGCCAAAGGCCAGAAGACTACCAACAAGTCCACCGACCGAGTTGCCCGCAAACCAAATCCCGGTACGGAAGGGGATCTCGTCGCGAGTGTACCAGGTCGATGTGAGGAACATAAAGGCTGGGGTCAAGGTCGCCTCAGCGATACCCAGCAAGAAGCGGACCACGAGGAGGCCGCCAAAATTGGTGCATGCTGCTGTCACCACCACGACACTGCCCCAGAAGAGAGCATTGATGGTCAGGTACTTGGCCACCGGCAGACGAGCAATGAGAAGCGAGGTTGGGTACGTCCAGGCAAAGTAGCCAAAGTAGAACATGCTCGAGACCCAGCTGTACTGCTGGCCCCTCAGATTCTGTCATTTGTCAGTCGTGAAATGAGCTGCACAGCTCAAGAAAGGAAGACGAACAGTGTCTTCTCTGAGACCAAAAACAGAAGCACTCGACAAGATGGTGCGATCCATGAAGTTAAACATGTAGGTGACGAAAAGAACAGGAATGATGAAGCGATCAATTTTGCGCACCACGCGCTTCGCCATGGTGGCATCGACATGCTGACGCTGCTCTTCAGGCTCCCCTTCTGGCCTCGTATCGTCGTTGATCGGATTCATGATCTCTCTCGTTATCAAAGTTGCGTTGGAGTGCTGATGGTCGCAAGAAGCTGTTGCAAAGAGAACAACGCGGGGTCAGGCCCAATCTTTTAAGCTGCCAGTGACACCAGCTCTGATCTACAGACACAGGTGCCAGTAAGCCGGAGATCGGCGCGAGACACGCATGATCGGTGTCCGTCGCTCTCCAGAACCAACACGATAGTATCGCCAAGATGATATGTTGCATCGAGATATCTTTCCCTGGCCCTATCGCAATCGCGGCTCCGGTTTCTCGGGCTACAAACCCGGTCTATCGTCTATTGTGGAGGAAGAGTCTGGCGCCTGTGAGGTCGATTGGGGTGCGCTCCATCTCTTCAGCCATTGACATTGTCGATCATTGTCAATTACTCCGGCCGAGTGCTCTAGACTCCGCTGTCGGCCGATGGGCATGGGGCATGACTTATCGCTTTTGCGTGTGATTGCTGCAAATTGAGCGACGTGCCATCTGCTATCACCTGCGATTGTCTCTGGGCACAAAACGACGCTGCCATGTAATGCGGTTGGAGCCGACGGCGTCGGGGCGGGCCCGACAAAGTTGTCGATCGTAGATAAGATCAGGAGCTCCTTTCAGAAAGGAAACAAAACGTCTCTACCTTGACTCATGATATGTGTACCTCAAATGTGTCCCGTTTCCCAAAGTGACATGCTTCCACGTACTTGTCCACGCAGCTGTCCGAACGCCGCCACATCATCATGGACGGCCTCGCGATATCCCCCTTCATCGCCTCCCTCCCCAAAGTTGAGCTCCACGTCCACATCGAAGGCACTCTCCTGCCCTCCCTCCGCTGGTCCCTCGCCCAAAAGAACAACATTGCCCTCCCGTACCCAACCTACGAGGCCCTGCTCGCCTCATACGCCGTCTCCCTAACCCACCGCCCCGAGCTCACAGGCCGCACGCCCGGCATCCCGACCTTCCTCGAAGCCTTCGCCGCAGGCTGCGCCGTCCTCGTGACGGAAGACGACTTCTACGCCCTGGCCATGTCATACCTCGCCCGCTGCGCCGCCATGAACGTCCGCTACGCCGAGCCCTTCTTCGACACCCAGGGCCACGCCGTCCGCGGCGTCGCCCCGGAGACGGTCCTGAACGGCTACCTGCGCGCCCAGCGCGACGGCGCCGCGAGGTACGGCGTCCGCTCCAGCTGGATCTACTGCTTCATCCGCGACCGGCCCGTCGACGAGGGGCTGGCCGCCTACGAGGCCGCGCGCCCGTGGGCCGCGGGCGCGGTCGAGGGGGGCAGGGGTCTGTTCCACGCCGTCGGGCTCGCGAGCAACGCCTATGAGCGGCCGCCGCTGTTGTTCGAGGAGGGCTTTCGCCGTGCCAGGGCGGATGGGCTGCGTGTGACGATGCATTGCGATTTCGGGCAGAAGGACACCCACGCGCATGTTTCCGAGGCGATATTCGACGTGTGTGGTGGCCGGGGCGCGGAGCGGATCGATCATGGACTCGATGCTGCTGACGACGAGAGATTGATGGCCGGTCTTGTAGAGAGGGATATCGGGCTGACGCTGTGTCCGCATGCCTACCACCGGCGAACGGCGACAGAGGTGTTGTTCCCGAAAATACGAAAGCTCGTGTACGGCGGTGTCAAGGTTTGCATCAACAGTGATGACCCTGTGTACATGCACGATGTATGGGTCGATGGGAACATGCAAAAGGTGTATACATATTGTGGCATGAGCAAGGCGCAGTGGTTCAGCTGGCGAGAAACGGCGTGGACTTGGCTTGGACGAGTGCTGAGATTAAACAAGCGCTGTATAAGGAACTAGATGCAGTCAATATAGACGACTAATATCCGGCCAAGGCTTTTGGGCTCGATGCTTGCTCTTTTATAGAGAGAATGATCATGAAATGTCACAGTAGCCAGTTTCAAGAGCTTGTGAAACACAAAGTGAATTAAGTTAGATATGAAAACAGACCCTGTCCGGAACTCCCTGCAAGTAAAAGACTCCGTACTCTGCAGTACTACCTCCACCACCATTAAAAGGATTGTATCAAGAATACACAAAGAAACGTGCGAAAGAGACTCGATCACGAATCATCCCCTCAAGCCTTCTTGGGCTTCTTCACATTCCACTTCTTGACGCGGAATGCCCAGTATGACACAATAGCAACGAAAATATTAAAGAGGATGAAGGCCCACATGATGCCAAAGTTGCGCCACCTTTCCGAGTAGAAGATCCTGCTACCAGCAAGGTACTGGTCAGCCACGGTGAGTGAGCAGTAGCGGCAAGAATCAGTGTCGTTAGGGTTCTGCAGCACGCCCGGGGCTGCTCGAGGAAAGCCTGGAGGTATTCGCCGCACGTCTGACCGGAAGGCGGGCTGAAAATGGAAACCTCGTCTTGCGAACACGTGACGGGTCGATCGTGTAGCTGCGTTGAGACAATACCGCTCACCCAGTAAGTGAAGGGCGAGACGCGGTACATGAACATCCAGAATCCAGGAAGGTTGTCGGGCGTCTGCAAAACACCGCAGAATGTCAAGCTCATCAGAACTAGGAGGGTGACAACCGCGGAAGCAGTCAGGGCATCCGGGAAGGCGGCGATGGTCATCTGTGCGAACGAGCTCGCATAGAGGAAGAGCTGGATGCAGAAAAGCAAGACAAGCCCCTGACGTGCGGAAGATTGGACGCCGATGATAGGGTAGTAGAAGCAAGCGTAGATCAGAATAGCCGTTACAATCTGGTAGGGAATCTCGACGACGACGTTGGCAAGCATGAAAGCCTTCCAAGAGTAGGCTTTGCTGGGACGTTCGCGGACTTCGTACAGAGCGCGCTGGGTCAGGAAGTGAGGCTGGATCTGTTGGACGAGGGTGGAGAAGATAGTGATGACCATGAAAACGCCGAAGATGACGTTTTGCATGCCAGCGAGAGATCCCTCAGCGCCGTAGAAAGAGAAACCGATGAAAAGACCAGCGGCAGTTCCGAGGATAAACTTGGAGAAGACGTAGCTGGGCATGCGCCAGTATTGTTGGAAGACGCGATGCGTAACGGCAACGAGCTGAGCGGTGAAGGGCATGGCGAATTCAGAGTGAGCACCAGCCTCGTGCTCACCAGCAACTGGTTCGGCAGCCTTCTCAGCATGGATGCGTTCAAGCTCGTCTCGGACGCTTTGACGCTCTGGGCTTCCGTTCCAGACGCTGTGCCAGTCTTCGCCCTTGGGGGTTGGTTCCGTTGTTGACGATTTCAAGCATGTACTCAGCCGGGTTCTCGTCGTCGTGACATTTGCGAGCGCCGTTGGTCTCGAAATAGTCGAGGAGCGTGTGCGAGTTCTCTCCAATGTTGCCAAAGTAAACCGTCTTGCCGCCAGCTGCGAGGAAAAGCAAGCGATCAAACTGCTGGAACAGAATAGCACTGGGCTGATGCACAGTACACAAGACAGCCTGACCCGCATCTGCGAGCTTGCGCAGGAACGCACAAATGGCCCAAGAGCTCTGAGAGTCAAGACCGCTCGTGGGTTCGTCAAGGAAGAGAAGAAGTTTAGGCTTGGCTGCGAGCTCGACGCCAATGGTAAGGAGCTTGCGCTGTTCAACGTTGAGACCCTCTCCGGGAATACCGACAACGGCATCAGCAAAGTCGCGCATGTTGAGCATGTCAATGACTTCCTCGACAAAGGCATGCTTCTCAGCCTTGCTCACGGTCTTGGGCTGGCGAAGCTCAGCACTGAACTGCAAGCTCTCACGGACAGTGGACGTCTGAAGATGGAGATCTACACTGGTCAGTAAGGAATGAGAAACCTGGAGTCACGCGGAACATACCTTGCTGCTGAACATAACCCGTCTTGCGCTGGAAGCTGGCATCCAAAGGCTTCCCATTGACAAACATGTCGCCAGTAATAACGCCCATGGTAGTTCTCTGGGCCAAGACGTCGAGAAGAGTTGTCTTGCCAGCACCTGAAACACCCATCAGGGCAGTCAACGTGCCTGGCTTGACCCATCCAGAAACTTCGTTGAGAAGCCGGCGCCCTTGGCCCTTGATCTCAATGTCATAACACACGTCTCTCCAAGTAAAGATATCCTTCTGCGGCTCAATCGATCCAACGTTGGCACCAACTTCCTCCTTGGACGCAGCCTTGGCAGCCATCTCTTCATTGGCGGCGCCGCGGTCGACGCCGTCTTTGAGGTGGCTGGGAACATGGCCGCGCTGGAATACAAGAACCTCGGCAGAGCTGCTCGTCGTCGAGTTGAGTTCGGTGGCTGCGAAGTAGATAATCATGAAGAAGATCAAGAAGCCGATGAGAATACCAAAGTTGCGCCAAACGTGGGAGTAGTAGTAGTGATAGTTCGTCTCCATAAAGGCGTCACCACTCACAGTTCGCTGTCCAGGGACGGAACCCACAGTCGTGCAGATCCAAGAGTCTCCGACGGGCGGCGAATAAGGCGGAACAATGGTGTCACACTCGTAGTTCTGGCCATGGAACTCATTGGCGATCAGGATTTCGAAAGCGTAGAAGATTGGGTTGATCCAGCGGATCCAACCGAACCAGGGGTGCATTTGCGGGACAGTGATGACGAAACCGGTATAGATGACTAGTGCCAAGACCATGACACCAGCCAACATCATAGCTTGCGAGACGGTCTTGGTGACAGCTGCGAGTGTCCGGAAAATGGCGCTCATGACGAAGGTTGAGATGTACGTGATCAGGAAGAAGAGGAAGAACTGTCCAGGTTCCGCTCTCAAGCCGGCAAGAAAGTAGAGAACGACGTTAAACACAGTCGAAGTGATGAACTTGATCGGTATGTCGGAGACGATTCCAGCTATAGCTTCTGCTGCGGGATGATAGAAGGCATACGAGGCGTGCTTTTCGACGATCGGACGTTGAGAGTACAGGTTGTTGATCTCAGAGATGGCAGAGAGAGCGCTGATCAGGATGGCTTGGAAGAGAACGGATCCCTTGCCAAAGAGACCTGCCGTTGTATCTGGATTCTGGTGAAAGACGGAACCAATAATAAGAGCAATGACGAGCTGCATGACTGCATGGCTTGCAGTCGCCGAAATATCATTCCAGATACGCTGGTACGCTCGTTTCGTCGTGAGTTTGACCTGCATGGCCAGACTGACTGTATATGGCGACTTGGGGCGGACGTGCCTCGACTGTCTGATGTTTTTCTTCTCGCGCATCTCAGAAATGGTCTGGCCGTGGGCATCAATGGGGAACTCTTGTTGATGCTCTTCGATCTCGCGACGAAGAGCCTCAAACTCAGGAGATGCGAGCCAGTACCGCTCAAACTCGTCCGAGGTACGCGGCACCTTGTTCTCCATGCCGTTGCGCGCTTGACGCTCCTGTGGGTTGGTCACAGATGTAAGGAAGTCACCAGTAGTCTGGCGCTGGGGGCAATGCCAGCCCATCCCCTCAAAGTACGCCTTGGCGTCGCTGGCACGGCCATAGAAAATCTCGCGACCCTCGTAGAGAACGACGGCTTTGTCAAAAAGATCGTAGATGGCCTGACTGGCTTGGTAAATTGCCACAGCGTGGGCAGAGCCGGAAAAGTCAGCAGCGAGCCTCAAAGACTGGACGAACTTGAGAGCTGTTGCGGAATCGAGGCCACGGGTGCTGTTGTCCCACGCCGCCATGGGAGAGCCAGCAAGCATCATTTCGGCGATACTGACACGCTTCCTCTCGCCACCCGAAACACCGCGGATGAAGTCATTGCCAACCTTGGTGTTGTAGGTGTGGCTCAAACCACAGACTGCCATGACAATCTGAGCGCTTCTTCTGTGATATTCCTCGCGAGAAATGCCGTGGATGCGGTGCGACGGTGTGCGGACGGCAGCAGCAAACTCAAGGGTTTGGCCGACAGTCAAATGAGGGAAGTGCTTGTCGACCTGAAAAGAGCTCGAGTCAGTATTTCTCCTGCAGGCAGGACGGGACGGGACGGTTCTCACCTCTTGGTTGTAGGTTGTTTCACCCTTGAACTCTTTCATCATCTCCTTCTGCGGAATGCCGTTGTAGTGCACGACGGACTTCTCGTCCATGTGGAGACCATGGAGCTGGCCTGTGATGGTCTTCAGTAACGTGCTGCAGCCGGAGCCAGGCCTGCCAAGCACGATGAGAAGCTCGCCGGTGTTGAGCAGGCCATTGAAGCTGCGGAGGATGGGCTTCGGCTCCTTCTTGCCGAAACTGAAGTGCTCTCCCAGTTTGAGGGGGGCTTGGAGCACGGAGGCGACTGTTTGCTGAAGCTGCAAGGCGTCTCCGGTACCCGAGACACTCAGGTCCTTGAACGAGACGCCGGCCGACTTCAAGCTGATACCTTCTTGCCGCAAAGCTTCGATGGTATTCTGTAGCCACTTCTTCAGGTCGAAAGACTTGCTGGTAGGGTCCATGGCCGGATCGCTGTCACTTTCAAAGGAGTCAGGGACCTGTCCCTCTGGCAAGGACGCCAAGGATTGCCGGCGACGTTGCGACATGGCCGTGGCGATCCTGCGCAGTTCCCTCCGGTCACCCTCCTCCATGATGAGGGTGGAATCCCGGCGTTGGAGTCCATTGCCTTCTCCATATGTGGCGTCACTCTCGAAGTGTTTGTGGTGATGCCGGCTAGAGGAAGTGATGGGCGCAAAGGCAGTCTCGGTGGGCGAGTACTGGTCCGTGTCGCGGATGGGCGACTCCTCGCGAGGCGGATCAGCAGCTGGCGAGTGCCCGTTCATCGTGAAGACGACGGTGCGCTAACTAATAGATGTTTCGATGGTTGTCTCGGCGACTTTGATGTGAGTGGTGTGATTATCGACGGAAGCCTTCCCTCGGCAAACAGGCAAAGTGAAGAGCAGAAATGTAATTGGGAATAATGAAAGGGCAAGTGACCCAGATTGGGGACGAGCTGCATAGATAAAGTATGGCACCAAGAGGCTCGGGGAAGTCCCTGGAAGCCGATTGGAATGAGCCCATCGTTCTGTTGTTTGCGGACTTGGGAGAGTGCGCCGTGTATCGACCAACATAACATGCCGACAGAACACCCCGGGCCTCCGTTCTGCTCAGTGCTGGGATGGCCGCCACAATGGTAGACCACAGCGCGCGCTAGGGCATTGCGGAGAGCAGGCGAGCGCCGAACATGTCGTCACCCTGCATCCAGCTCAGTAGCTAAGGCAGCTCAGAGTGCCATTTTTTGAGCTGCGGCCCATCGCCAGCGCGTACCTGGCAGTATTGAGTTCAGGCTCGGGGTGCTGGTGCATACCGAAAGCGTCGAGTAAGTGCGTTGTGGTTGTGTCTTAGACCCTTGGCTAGGTCTGGAACAGTTTGGCAGGGTTCCCGGACACCCCCAGCTCGCGGCTCCAGCAAGGCTCAGTATGGTGGGTTTGGTGGGTTTTGGTGGGTCGGAGCATTGGGCCAGCAAAAGTCGGGCAATAACCCACCGCTCAATGTTGTGACGCACATGCTATTACCTATACGTACGCTGCTGAGACAGCACCTGTCGATGTCTCTACCAGGTGAAATGCTTCCAGCTTGCAGAACGGACGGGCGCCTCTCGAAGTATCACAGGGGAGGCCATCAGTAAGCTCGGGTCAAGGATTGGCGGATGGCGTCCATCCAACAACGTCGTTGCTGACATTCCGACTAAGAATGCACCAACCGGCCGGGCACGTATCTTCTCGTCGCACTCATTCGTCCGTCGATGCTTAGGGTATTCTTGATGTGTGATGTGGCGTATTAGCCCGCTTCTTCCAGGCTGACGATCCATGGCAGGGCCAGGTAAGGCCACAAAAGGGCTGAGGTGTTGCGTGGGCCAGGTGATATCATGGCCCTACCTGACGTCGAGTCAGTTGTGTCGGAGTCGGAGCGCCGGAAGCAACCGAGGCCCGCGTAGATCGCCCCTCTACACGGGCGACGCGCAACTGCCAGACCCTGCTCTGGGAACACTTTGTCAGCTTCTGACGGGGTTTCTGATGGCAAGGGAACGGCCAGTGAAGGACTCCGACTGCCCGGTCCCTTCTCCAAGCAGGTGCAATGTACCCGTAGCAACAGCGGGATTTGTCTGTTGCAAGGCCGACACGGCCGACGAGCGGCCCGGTGCCAAGTCCCTGGTCCGTGGATGTCGAATCAAGTGCGTTTCGGGGACATACGCGGTCGAAAGACCCGATCTTCTGGTCGCGGTCGTCGCAGCGGGTGATCGAAGATAAAGTCGGTGACTTTTTCCTCTCCCCTGTGGACGTTGTTCAAAGCGAGCAACGTGGTGGTGGTTTGATTGTGCGCGGATTCGCTTTCGTACCTTTGAAATCGAAATTGGGCATTCCAGATGATGCCTTGTCGGCAGGCAACTCGCTGCTGCCACAACAGGGGTCTGTTAGCGACTTTCGTCATCATGATGAAACATTGTCCTGATGAAGAACTGATCCTCTTTTTGAGAACCTTGTGGTTTGATGGGGAAATTGGGCGACTCGTTGTGCTGATGTTATGACAGTGATGTGATGATCATGTCGAATTGTGTAGGTGTATGCAAGTGCACTTGAAGCGACCCTGGCTGCTTCCTTCATGTGGAGGCCGCTTACTTCATCGGTCATCAATGTGTCGGACCCGAACAGAACCCGATGGTCAGTAGGCGCAAGGTCTTTGCAGACCAGGACCTCTGCTCGTAGTCAGGCGACTTCGAAACGTTGAAGCCTTCCAAACAGCCTAGCACTTCTCTGTTGATATGTTCAATCACGCTCTGGAATGTTGTCACCCAGACTGGAAGGGTACACACAATGTTGGCCCCATCAGAATTGGACGGTGGGGCACCTTCCCGCTCTTCTCCCCCTGCCCCACATCACCAAACAGCGAGTACCTTACCTAGATGGATGTCACCTGTTGACAGATGTGAAGTCAAATTACAGGCATCAGCAAGTGCTTCAAGATCTTTGGGGTAGCTACCGCAGATGCACATCCCACACGGCATCATTGTACTCGAAGAGAACATCACGCAATGCCCCTCACATGGCAATGTAGTCCAAGACCCCACCAGCCATGCTCATGTCAGAATCGATCATGCACCTATTCGCTGGCACCTGCTCCTTGCCCCTGATGTGGCCTTCGTCCATCGCCGAAAACCCACCTGCACGTAGCCGACGAGGCAGCTGCAAGTCTCTTTCCTCCTGCCGTCCTCCCACTCCCGCCAAGGGACAAGGACGCGGGGGTGAGGCCTCTTTCACCCCGCCCACGATGATCTTTATTCGCGACATGATTTCCCAAACACCACGTTAATATCCTCAAGCTTTCAACTCGGGCGTTCTTGACCGCTCACTATCCTTTGACATGTCTTTCTTCGAACTGGCCGCCAAGTTTGGCGGTCTCAGCACCCAAGAGTCGGATGACCACGAAGGCTACACAGGTAGGTACCTAGGCTGGACCCCTGATGTCTCATGACAATTTCAGTCGCCGCATGCAGCCCAGTCCTCTCGCCCATCTTCCCCAGGCTGATTTGCGCGACTCCAGGGCCCAGAGACTACGGCTACACCCAGACCACCGCTTACGAGAGCGGCTACGATGGCGCCCCACCGACAGGCTACCCCAGCGGCCCCCAGCGAGGCCAGGCCGAATACAAACGGTCCCACGAGGGCTACAGCACGAGTGACCCGGCAAGGGCCTATGTTCAAGACAGCGCATATGCCGCGCCGCCGCCGGCAGATGAATACCACCCCCAGCAGTCTGACTTTGGTGGCCGCGACTGTCGTCCTGGCTCGCCGGCGCTGCCTGACGGCTGGATCAAGCGCTTCGACGAGCGGCATGGGAGATGGTACTACGTGGACGAGACAACAGGCACATCCCAATGGGAGCCTCCCAAGACGGCTGTTGATGATGGAGAATACGGCGGCTCGCAGCATGCTTCGAAGGACCAGGTCTACGACGCTCATTCAGGCGCTGGTGAAGCAGCTGGCTACTACGCTGGACACCATTATGGGCAGAATGCCGCCCTGTATGGACAGGCCCCTGTGCAAGACTACCGATTCGGCCAACACGGTGGCGCGTCCTATGCCGAAGGGTATCACGGCCTAGAACAGCATAGACCTAACCTGGCGGAAAAGCGCCAAGGAAGTGGGTACGGCGGTGCTCTCCTGGGTGTCGCCGGCGGCTTAGCTGTTGGAGCAGTGGGCGGAGCTCTCCTTGCCAACGCTCTAGGTAAGTTTTTTTTGCTCACGATTTGTCCTATATGAAAATGGCCGGGACATAATCTGACAAGTCCAAGAAGGTTCTGATTCCGAACCCGAAGCTGCAGAGGCCCCTGTCGAATATGCTCACAGGCCATATGACGAGGCAAGATACGACAGTCATGACTATGGAGCGCCGGTTGCATATGAAGACGATCGAGATTTCGCTCCATATGAAGAGCAGAAGCCGTCACCTGTCTCTGACAGCGAAGAGTCTCAGGAAGATACCGGGTCGTCTGAGTCCGAGTCTGGAGACGATGAAGTAGAAGCAGAGGAAGAATTTGAGAAGCAAAGTTCTCATGAGTCTCCTGGCTCTGAGTCAGGCGATGACGATGGTTCTGGCCATGAAGATGAGGATCAGGAGTACCCAAGTGGTGATGACGACGAATGGTCGGGAGAGGAATAAATGTGGCTGTTAAACCAGGATTTGTCATGCCGCAAAAACGAGGTTCGGCGCCGAACCCCGCTTGGGCATCCCTACGACCTCTTGCTTTTACCTTCGTACATGTCAACGAAAAATACCCGCACTTGAGGTGTGGTATTCAGTTGGAGCAAGGCGTTGATGCAGATGGGTTAGCATGCGGAAGCTTTATAGTATGGCATCCTAAGGGAGTCATAGGACAGCCTCAAGATCTTTGGTTAGACTTGGTCCAAGAAGACACCTTGGTTGAGAGGGAAGGTTTCGAGGACAGAGCGGTAGTTGTCAATTTTAGAACGATAATGCCAGAACCTCCGGTGCTATGTAGTGTTCTATGTCTAGTATTGTACATCAGAAATGGCACTCGCAATCTCTCGCGAATGCTTGTCTAGGGAAACACGCCTGGGGTCACAACCTGCTGCGATGAGCTTCAGTGACCTGCACCAGATTCGTAAGAAATTGTCGTGGGTTCTCCCCAGAAAGTGTGAACCTGATCCTTTCGATATCCCAACTGTCCCAATACACCTGGTGAACCCTCGTGCCAACCAGCGTCGCCTCCATCGCCGCTGGTCCGCAAACAAGACCTTAGTCTCTTGCTTAGTGGGATTTGGCGCAACCTTTTCAAGAAGCGCCTTCGTGACATGACCCTGTCGGAGTGGAGAGCCCGCTTCCGGCCGACTCACGGTGTAGATGGCTTCAAACCGACCGGGAAAATCCTTCTCGAAGGCGTCAAATTCGGGTTTCAACAGGGCATCCGCGTCCGTATTGATGCCGAACACGAGCGTGATATTTGTCTTGTCTTCAGGATTCCGCAGGATCCCCTGGGTTAGCTGATAGATTGGCGTAATGCCAGCTCCGCCAGCAATCAGTGTGACGTGGGGAATGGCATTCGGCTTCCATGCGGGGCCTTTCAACCCAGCAGCGAAGAGGAGTGTCTCGCCGGGCGATAATGAGTGCAGGTGCGTGCTCTGCTTTCCGTCTGGATACAACTTCACAAGCAAGTCCAAAGTTCCAGGCTGATCTGCATCATTGTGAGTACGAGCCTTGCATGGACGACGCAGTAACGAGCAGTACCTGATGGGCTGATGGGTGTATATGGCCTTGCTACTGGGAGCCATCGGCCTTTCGGCCATGATATGGTCAAAACGGCGGCTGAGGGACTATTAGAGGCCGTTTACCCGCCATGAGTCTGATTCTTGCTTACAGGTGAGAGCTAGCCCGCTGACCGCATTTTCGTCTGGTAACCTGAAACGGAGACGCTTGGTGTTGTGATTGACAACTTCGCTGCTCTCTAAAGGTAACGAAACGAAAGCAGGACCACTGCCAAACACCTTTGATGGGCTTCCCGAGTCCGCATGAGCGCTGTCGGTCATCATGCGTGAGTAAATGCCCAGACTGATGCCCCCGGCAGCAATGGCCGCAACAGCTTTTGTCGGCCGGATATGACGTAGAAAAGTAATGGACATGGTGAACAATGACTTGGAATATGATCGTTGAACAACTTGATAGGCTCAAATGTCAATTCCGTGGGTGGACAGGCTGCAGCTGTTTCTATTTATCTCACCGGGTGCAAAGCTCGGCCTCATGCCGGACTTCGGACATTATTGGTGGCAGGGTGCCGAGGGTACCTCCGCAGTCGAACTAGATCAGAACCCCTACAAACAGCACACCGGAGCCAGAATATCGTATAATGCGAAAGAGAGTCTTCAGGAGCGCCGGCAAACTCCTGTTCCCTCTTGCGCATTGATTCGATACTTTGGTGGTTTTCCCTTCTTTTCGGTCGCGACGTACGGCATTGGTGATGTTCACTAGCCGGTCTTACCGTTTTCAAATAAGCACTCGTTGGTCAAGCCAAATTTCACACAGGCGAAGAAACACTGCGTGAGGAAAACATAAACACTTATCTGTATCATGAGACTCGGTTTACTTTTATTGCAACCTGCACGCCATACTGAAGATTTGGCGTTACTTGTCAGGGGACCCTGCGGGTTCCCTGCGGAGCCGCCAAGCAGGGGGTCGGTCAGAGGCTAAGGGCTACGAGAAACGTATATATATAGGCTGCGGAGGGCCCTCCTAGCTGCGGAGGGCCAGGATCCAGATGTATTCCGACCCCCGACCTATCTTCCATCTGCTGCGGACCAACTGTGGAAGACCTCTTCACTTTGTTCTAAACAACGCTCTGAAATTACTCTCGCTTCAGACCGACTTTGCCAACGCCCCTGAGTCCCCAGACACTAACAAAGCAGGCCATCAACTGCATCCCAAAACAAAGCCAGAAAACCACACGGTATCCTTCCATGATAGCTTCAGGCGACTCCTTGTCCTCAATAGAAGACTTGGCTGTGACTCTGTTCGAGGTGACTGCCATGACCATCAAGCCAACCGAATGCCCGAACTGAGCGACTGTACTAAAGACGGCGCCTGCCAGGGCTTGTGTGCCCTCAGAGAATGCATCCGTAATGATGAGATTGGCGACCGTAAAAATGACTATGGGACGATCAGTTGCGTTCACAATGAGCTTGTATCCCGAAGTTCGGGGTTCCTACCGTCAACGCTGAAGGGGCACACGATTGCGGCCCAGAAGGCAGCGACCCAGAAGTTCCAGGCCGGATCAATGAAGGCCATTATGAGCGGTGCAACGCATGTCAAGGCTGCCGAAACCGTAATGAGGAGATTGGCGTTGATCTTATGAACAAAAAGTCCTGTGAACAGGTTGAGAAGAATGCCGACGACCACCTCGGGAAAGAAGCGAATGGCCGCGTCGAGCGCGGACAGCAGTTGGACCTCTTGGAAGCTGCAATTCTGTCAGATCCGAGCATACACAAGCCAAAAAAACGGACTACTCACAACAGACTGAGGAAGTATTCTACACCATTGAGCACAGCGTATGTGAGAAAGACGAGGAGACAGATGGTGGTGAACGCTCTCTTGCGCCACAGTGAGTTCGGTATCAGAGCGATGCGACCCGACTTCTCACGGAAATGCATCCAGAACCCAAAAGAGACAGCGGATGTGCCAGCAATGCATAGCATGACAATGTTCTCGGCGTTCTTGGCCTTGGCCATGTTCCCGGTGATGACCCTGTGCAAAGCATCAGCCATGCGGACGAAGACGGAACGCCTCGGTAGACTCACGCAAGGACATAGGACGTGATCCCCAGCGCCGCCGATATGAGACAGGCGCCAATCCAGTCGATTTCGCGGAGGAATCGTGGCCAGGTGAACTTCTCACGAGGGGTGTCCTGCGGCAGAAGCCAGATGCTCACCAAAAACAGCAGCCCCATCAGTCCGGCTGTAAAGTAGAAGGCAAAACGCCAGGTCAAGTACGTGTCTACGACAACGCCGCCGAGAATCAACCCAAAAGAAAACCCTAGGGGCTGGCTGAGACCGACGCAAGCGAACCCAACATTGCGCTGGCGTCCCGCGATGAAGTTGTTCGTCAGGATGCTGATAGTGGTGGGCAAGCAGAGGGACAAGGCTACACCTTGAAAGGAACGAAAGAGGATGAACCGGATGCCATTGTCGGCGACGCCGGCTGCTGTGGTAAAAATAGCCAGCAAGAAGCAGCCGATCAGGTTAATGTTGCGGTTGCCGATAAAGTCGGCGACTGCGCCAGCAACAACTAAGCAGCAGGCGCTAGCTAAACTGAGAGGATTGTCAGAAAGAGGATGAACGAGGATTAGCTGTGGACGAAGCAGAACTCTTCTTACGGAAAAACGGATGCTGGCCTGTCACGGTTGATGTTAGCTTCAGACTGTGGAATCGTCATCGTTTATCACTATAAAGACATACCACAAGAGCAAATGCGGTGCCAGTCCTAGATCCCGTGCAATCGTGGGCAAGGATATTGTCACAAGCCCGGTGCTCATGTTGCCAACAAAAGTAACACCAGTGAGAATACTGATGACCCAAGCCGCTTTTGCCCTGGACACAATCCTCACATTGTTGGGTTCCGCGATCTCCAGCATATCCTGCGACTGCTGAGCGAGGTTTACAGTCGGTGAGGGCACAGCCGTCGGCTGCGCAGCGGCCTTTCGAGAGGGCGCAGAGAAACGTCGGAGCAAGGATGGCGTTCGGGAAATCCAATCCCGGATGGAACTTTTTTTTGAAGTCATGCTGCTGGTTGGGGAGCCAGAGGGAGGCTCACTCGCGACGAAGAGACCGCGAGACGGAGTCTTGGGCGTCATGTCGGTAGGCCGAGAGCTGAGGGGTAGCGTCAATGAGCGATAGGTGTCTCTCTGTCGTTGGTTCCAGTAGGCTTTTTGCAGGCTATTCCCGACATGAGGCTCGGGAAGAAGACTGAGATGAGATCCGGATGATGATTGCAGCTCAACTTATAGTTGGGATGAAGGTTGGAGGAAAGCCCTTGATCAGTTGGCTGTGACCCGCCCACGCCTTGTCTGTCATCCATCGACAGAAAGGCGTGAGCTAAGTTGATCCCACAACGTCTTAGAAAATTTGCCCAAATCCACTTAACAGCGATGGACAAGAAGAGTTTAAGATTCAAATATGATTTTTCGTCAGTCAAGAGGAAGCTGAGACTTCGTCGTATTTGCGCTACCTACGCTCCGCAGTGGTTTGCGGGCCAACCCAACTCGGAGTGTTCAATAGCGGGATGGCTGCTGTGCAGACACATGATTACACGGCCTTTTACGGGGCGCTCCAGGCCCACATGGCGCCAGGGTAGACACCCAAGACCCTGGCCGCGAAAGAGGCTCATGGAGTCAGAGACCCAATGCTACCGATGCTTCCATCCCTAGGCTTTGGCTTCTCGCCTGGGGATGCTGCTTAATGTACTCATCCAAACGCCTGGGTCGATGCACAGGCGTTGAATGCAACGCTGGGCATACGATGCGAAGATCCGATCGCTACAGACATGGTGATCGTCATACAGCCCCGATCCTTTGGACAGTGTACCAAGTTCCAGACCAAGGGGTAGGGACACATTTGACCTGAGCGACGTCACCTGAATTGTCAAATTCGTTTCGAATTACCGAACCCGCAGTATTGACGACGATTGTGAGGGAAGTAGGTTGCTGACGGCCTGCTCCTTAACTTGATATACCCAATTGCTCCCTGCAGCAAGAATTTAGATACAACGCCATGACTACAACCAATGAAGAATCACAGTCATGTTAACCTTCTACTAGCCTAGTCATGGTGGCCTCGTTGCATTAATCATGTCAGTTGGCCGCGGCTGAAAGTTGTGAAGTCAAAAAGCACGGCAATGGTACGTTGCTGATCAAACTCCAAGGTCTGCATCACCAAGACTCCGACAACTCCGTGTCCAATGGAAATGAGGAACAGACTAAGAACCACGAGTCAGTCTTCTGAGAGAAACTATCGCTAATTGTAGGCAGTGGCAGTTCGGTTTATCTCGGCACGAACCATGCATGCCCTGGCATGGAGACCTGCCTTCTTGGGGATGATCCAACATGGGCCATGAGGTGGCAAGACGTACCGGCTCAATCAAGATCTTCACACACATCAGAAACTCCCAAGTTTTGATCTACTCCAGGTCAGAACGTTCGCAGCGGCACCATGTTGCCAGTATAAGAAGGTGACAGCATCTAGGTGATTGGAGTGCAGCTGTGTCGCAAATCGCTAGGCTATTGCTCAACAACTCCAGAGTTGCAGTCGCATGTCCTGTGGTGTTGTCTTCTGTAGGCCAGCAACATGAAACAACGCATGCTGCAAGCACAACGTTTCAATGGCACACTTCATAGTGTCGAGATTGGCAAGTGACATGACAACTTGTGCAAAGCGCCATCAGTATTACGGCTTCGCTTGCTATTGGTCATTCGAAGTGCGTCGTGTGATAGGAATGCATTATGAGGCACATCTTGGGCGTCGTCGCGGACGCCTCGCTGAGTGCCGAGCAGCTATGTGTGGGAAACGTCCAGCCCTGCAGCACGGCATATGTATGGATGCAACACCCACTTACTGCTCTGCAAAGGGACGCACAGTCCCAACCTTTATTTATTCGGATAAGCAGCGGATAAGGGCCAACTTGACACCGGTAGTCTCAATGTCGGGGTTAACCCCAGAGAGTCTCCAGTCAACGACGTGCAAATGCCATGGGCCTAGTGAGCGTCACCTGCCATCTCTGGTTAACGGAACCTCGAACTGCGATACGGCTAAGGCTAGCTCTTGGGAGCAGCTTCTCCGGGACTTATCGTTGTCGATCATTCTCCTTGAACTGATCGAGTTGCTTCTTCTGGAGTTAGACGCTGTTGTGCCCGTATCGCTCTACCGCACATTGCAAAGCACCAACATTCGCGGCCTGCTCCCCGCCCTGGCGATTTGAGACCCTTTTGCTTGCTGCTCGCATGAACACAAAGATTGTGATGGATCCATGTGAGGAAAAGCAAGTACCGCAATACGCACTCACCAAGGCCCTCCTCCGGCTAAGGGCAAATCAAGGACCGACTGCGGCTCTTGGCAAGTTGTCTTCCTTGCCAAATATG